AACCTCCAGCGCCAGCACCCTCAGTAGCTCCAGAACCTCCAGCGTCAGTACCGCCAAGCTCAGCACCCCCAGACCCCTCACACTCAGGCTCAGCACCACCAGGCTCCACACCCTCAAGCTCCGCACTCTCAGGCTCAGCACCCCCAGGCTCAGCACCCCCAGGCTCCGCACCCCCAGGCTCAGCACCCCTAGAAGTAGCACCCCGAGAAGGACCACCCTCAGTAGGACCTGAGTCACCAGTGACCTCAACCGGCGCAGTCAAGGGAGGAGGGTCTACCTGAGAAACACCTGAAGGAGCAGGACCAGGAGTGGGGAGGGGGTCTACCTGGGGAGCACCTGGAGCGAGGAAGAGCGGCGGGGGGGGGAGCGGGGCAGTGCGGTAGGGGAAGAGACGGTAAAAGGGAACCGACTCGTCGAACGTGACGTCCTGAGACGCAAAGACACGGCGCGAGGTGGGATGGTAAAACTGCCAACCAGGCGCATCAGGGACAAAGCCAAGGAAGACACAGGGAACAGCGCGGACGGAGAGCTTGTCCGCGGTGGTATCGCGGACAAAGGCACGAGCACCCCAGACCCGGAAACGCGACGCATCACCAACCTTCCCCGTCCATAGCAGTATGGGCGAGGTCTCCGGCAAGGAGACACGGGGCCAGAGGTTGAGCTGATGCGCGGCGTACCGGACCGCAAACGGCCACAGGAAATGGGGGGCAGCCGCATGGATCATGGAGGTACGAGCGACCTCCATGACTAAGCCAATGCGACGCTCAGCAACCCCATTCTGCTGTGGAGAGGCCGGAAGCGTGAACGACTGGGTGATGCCGTGCTCCGCACAGTAGGCTGCCAAGAGGTCAGAGGAGAACTCACCACCTCTGTCAGAGTGCAGACGCAGGACAGGAAAATCCCGCCGGAACCGCTCGCGGAGCTGGAGACGAACAGCGCGGATCCAAGGGATCAAAACATCAGGGACGTCCCCCTTGCTCTGCAAGGGGAAGACCGTGGTGTAACGCGTGTAGTCGTCGACGACCAGCAGGAAGTACCGCTCGCGGCCCTGTCCCTGGACGCGGGCTGGGCCCCACACGTCCAGGTGGAGCGTCTGCAGGGGAGCCTCTGTGGGAGGAAACGAGGAGGAGTGAGGAGCGGCGCGCTGCCGCCCCTCGACGCAAGGAATGCAGGGCGGCGCAGGCGAGGGAGGGAGGGCAGGCAGAGACCTGGGAAGACCAGAGACCAGGGAGCGAGAGTGCATGCTACGCAGGCGAGGCAAGGAGGGGTGACCAAGACGGTGGTGCCACAGGAGAGTGTCGTGCGACAAAGCGCGACACTCGCAGGGGGCCGCCAGCTGACCAGACGTAGACGCAGACGCAGCTACCTGAGGGGACTCAGTGGTCAGTGTGTACAGACTCGAGCCAGGTGCACGGGTGAACGTGGCCAAGTGCCGGCCCGTCCTAGCACACGTACAGTGAGTCACTCGCTGACTCGCAGGAGTGAACTGGTCAACCTCCCGATCCTGGAGGTCAGCTCCACTCACCAAGTTCGTAGAGAACGAGGGGAGGTAAAGACCTGACAGCGAGCCGGACGGGACGGCCGGACACGGCAGAACCGTGGAGTAGTGGGCAAGGAGTGGACCCCCGGAGGGGTGGCCGACTAAGCGGCGTGAGTGTGGTGCAGTCGCGAAAGAAGGAGCGAGAAGCTCCTGAGTCAAGGGTGAAGGTGTGCGAGACCGTAGTTGGCGCAGTACCAGAGAGAGCAGACTCACCAGCACCTGAAGCCACGGCCTCACCAGTACCTAGAGCAGTAGACGTACTAGCACCGAGAGCAGCAGCCTCACCAGCACCTAGAGCAGGAGACGCACTAGCACCTAGAGCAGCAGCCTCACCAGGGTCAGGCGGTACGCACAGATAACAGGCACGATCAGCACTAGTAGGCAATGCATACATGGCAGTGAGAATAGCATCATAGTCAAGCGCAAAGATATCTACCCTCTGTCCATGCAGCTCCAGCCAGGTGGGGAGCTCAGCCTCGTCGCCAAACACTGTGCGCCAGTCGTCGCTCAGACGAGCGAAGCAGCGGGACTGTGTGTGACCAAGCGTCCCACAAGGCTGACCAGTCCTAGCACCTGTGCGAATGACGTACGGGCAGCGAACTGTACGCGTAGACCTGCTACACTGAGCGTACCACTCCTGGAGCTGCCGGGGCGTAAGTGTCTCACGTGGACGCCCCTGCAGCTGTAGCTGGCCACTGCCAGACGCTCCCAACTGACCAGCTCCAGGGCGACAGCTACGACGGCTACTGCGACAACCCCAGCTAGTATACCACTCACTAAGCTGCTGGGGCGTCAGAGGCTCGCGTGAACGTCGCTGGAGCTGCATCTGGCCACCTGCCAGTAGCAGTAGCAGCAGCAGTAGCGCGGGCAAGGCAGGCGCGGCAGGCAGGCAGGCAAGCAGGCAGGCAGGCAGGCAGGCAGGCCGGCAGGCAGGCAGGCAGCCAGGCAGGCAGGCAGGCAGGCAGGCAGGCAGGCAAGCAGGCAGGCAAGCAGGCAGGCAGGCAGGCAGGCAGGCAGGCCGGCAGGCAGGCAGGCAGTCGCGCAGGCAGGCAGGCCGGCAGGCAGGCAGGCAGCCAGGCCGGCAGGCAGGCAGGCAGACAGGCAGGCCGTCAGGCAGGCAGGCAGGCGCTCACCAAAGGCTGGGAGAGCAGGCGCTCACCGGGCGAGCAGGGCCGGCGCTCGACGGGCGGCGGCCGAGTAGGCGCACGACAGCGGCGGCGTCGGGGCCGCAAAACCGGCTGCAGAGCAGGGCCGAAGCAGCTGCAGGGCGGGGCCGCTTCAGCGGCAGTAGCAGGGTGGGGCCGCGTCAGCGGCAGGTCGGGGCCGTGGCAGCTGCAGAGCGGGGCCGCATCAGCGGCAGGTCGGGGCCGTGGTAGCTGCAGGGCGGGGCCGCATCAGCGGCAGGTCGTGGCCGAGGCAGAGGGCCGCGCGCGGCTCGGCGCGGGCTGCGCTGACAGCGCGCTGAGCTGCTGCAGGCCGCGCGCGGCCGCGCTAGGCAGTAGCGGGCCGCGCGCGGCTCGGCGCGGGCTGTTGCGGGCCGCGCGCGGGCCGCGCGAGGCAGTAGCAGGCCGCGCGCGGCTCGGCGCGGGCTGCTGCGGGCCGCGCGCGGGCCTCGCGAGGCCGTAGCAGGCCGCGCGCGGCTCGACGCGGGCTGCGTGGGCTCGGCGCGGGCTGCGCGCGGCAGCTGCGGGCTGCGCGCGGCTGCAGCAGGCTGTGCGCGGCTCGGTGCGGGCTGCGCGCGGCTGCAGCGGGCTGTGCGCGGCTCGGCGCGGGCTGCGTGGGCTCTGTGCGGGCTGCGCGCGGCTGCAGCGGGCTGCGCGCGGCTCGGCGCGGGCTGCGCGGGCTCTGTGCGGGCTGCGCGCGGCTGCAGCAGGCTGCGCGGGCCTTACGGGCCTCTAGGGGCAGCGCGCTGGCCTAGGGCAGCAGGAGGCAGCGCTAGGGCTGCTGGACGGCGCACATAGTGCAGCACGTCACAAGGCAAGGCAAGGCAGGCAGGTACGTGGGGTAGCGCGGTAACCGCAGCGGTAGGTGGGCCCGAAAAAAAACGGTCCTACGGACCTTAGTGCTCTGAAACCATGTCAGAATCTAGCAGCAGGAATGGGAATGAATTAGCAGCATGCAGGAGTACAAGTAAAAAACCCTAATTGGGCTGTACCCCATATGGGCTACCCCACTACAGCCTAGACAATATGCAGCATATATGTTTGACACTGCTGCTGAGTTGGTGTGACATTCCTCAGTAGAATCGTGTACGCCATCATGGACTGATAGGTGTACTGCTGTTTCTCGTACTGCGTCCCGTTTGCTGGATATTGCAGGGACCCGTCGAAGAAGCCGAGTATCTGCGCGCCTTCCATCATCAACTCAAACTCAAATGACCAGGTGAAGAAGTCCTTTCCGTCGAAAGGTCTTGATGTCTGCAGTTTTAGAACGTGCGCGAACTGTGATTGCACTTGTAACGCGTCCAGTGGCTTGTCTTGTGCAGGTGAAGGTTGCGGCATGAAGCTGATCGACCCGCGCTCGTACGGGGCGAAGGTAGGTTGCTGTTGTTGGTTTCCGCGCGCATATGACGACCCGTCGAGGCTCATGGGCGTCGCTCCGTTGTTGCTGTTGTGTGTCTGTGCAGGTCCCGATTGCTGGTGCTGCTCGTAGAAGGACATGAAGGAGAAAAATTTCTCCATCATGCTTGGGTCGAAGTTCGCGGGGTGATTTGTGGGAGTCTCAGTAGATATCACCCTTGGTCTTGTTGTCGTGCCTTCCTCTGTCTGCAGGCCAGAGGCAGGAGGTGGAGTAGGAGTAGTGCCTGGGGAGCCGTTAGAGGAGCTCCTTTCCTTGCTTGTTGCCATGTCTTGTAATAATTTGAAGGTAGTAGAGTTTCCCCTGTTTGCTCTCATACCATGTTGGGCTGAGATAGCCCCTTAGGATCTTTTCAAGGGAGAACTCTGGGTAGGATAGTGTTGTAACAGCGGAAGCTTTGATGAAAGATTATGAACCACCTTGCGCTGGTATGTGAGGGCAAAGTAGATTAATTATAGCAAGGAAGTACAAGATTATATAGTAATACAGGGAATATGAAAGGATGCAGTTTGTAACTACTTTACTGTTGCTGTTGCGGTTCGATACAGTACGACTCGGGCAACTGCTCTGTAACGAGTCAGTTGTGTGTCCTTAACTGTCGCGCTGTATTTGTCAGGTCAAAGGTCGCTTGACCTTTGACTTTCGCGTAACCTCCAGCAACCTCTCAACCTCCGAGGGTTGACTCGCGTTTGTTTCGGTACTGCTTGCTTCGCTTCTGGTGCGATGTTTCGACACGACTGAAGCGCTTAAGATTTACTGTTTCCAACAAACATGATCAACAACCAACCCCTGTAACATGCTGTGAAAAGCAACAAAATAACTTTATTGTTGAACTAAGGCATGAAACACAGACAAATCTATGGTATCATACAACACAAGGTCTCTATTTCTTGCCAAAGAGCCCGAACACACTGGTGAGTGCCTTGATGGCATTCTCGTTGATGATTGGCTCATCGTACCTGTCCATGAGCTCATCAAACTCGTCATCGTCTCTTAGGAACGACAGGTCAGGGTCTTGACGGATTTTCTGCACATAACCAGGAGCGAAGCACAAACGGTAGGTAGGAAAATGAAATAAATTCTCAGAGCGAATTGCAGTGCAAAAGCACTAGCACTTCCTCTCCTAGGCAGTTACACTGAAGCCTGCTTTTGGCAGCTATGCTATCCTAACTCAAGCTTCGTTTCACTCTCTCTCAGGGCATAGAAAAGAAACCCATAAGGCAGCATATATGCAGCGTTATCTCAGCTCTACACCCCTCAAATATTGCTCCTTGCTCTCATCAAATACATTTTACACTCTTGTTCCTCGGCACCATCTTCTCTCTCGCGTCTCACCTTGTAGTCATCGAAGCCAGCCTCCATCGCCGCCTCTAGAGCCTGCAGGCCGCCCTCAACCTGTAGCCAGGGGAGAGGATAGAGTGACACCAGGCGAACAGATGAGCCAAGGGAGAACAGGAGAGTAGGGACTCAGAAGTGGACGGAGTAGGGACTCGAAGGGGAGTTAAATGCTCTCTTTGAGTGATTGATTGGCGTCGCACTGTGTCAACTTGGGTTATGACAGGTGTACCAGTGACCCGCCGTTATGGATATCGCCCTTGGTCATTCGGAAGGGGATACCTTGCAAAACGCGAAGTCTCACCCCAGGAGCCTCCCCCGAGAAACCTCACGGAAGTAAAGCTCACCTTCTTGAGCTTGGAGCAGCAGCACGCGATGTTGTAGAACGCCACGGCCTCTTCGCGGTACGACGGCACCAGCCCGATGATCGTCTGAAACTTCTGCATCGCCTCCTCGTACTTGCCCGCCCTGCCACGTGGCACCGCCAAACACAGGATTTCGAAGCACGATTGAGCCCGGCTAATTTTCACACCCCGGGTTACTGGGTTGGTGCAGAAGGGAGTGGTTCACGTCAAGATGATAATTGCTCAGGATGGAATCCGACATTGTGTGATCATCCATGATAATTGCTCAGGATGATCATGCATTGCCGCTTGTGGAAACCTTTGAGTTTTGAGACGTCTCAAATCATGCTCAGTACGGAATCCGAAACATGAGGTGGATCATGCATTGCCGCTTGAGGCTTACTTGTAGAGCTGGAGACCTTTCTCGAGAGCGGCGACGCGCTCTTCGGCCTGCTCTTGCCGGAGCGCCGCATTCTCCATCTGCTTCTCGCGGATGGCGTCGCCGTAGTTGCCGGCCGCACGCTCCTCCAGGTACTTGTCCTTCTTCCACGGACCAATCTTTTGCCCTGCGATACGAGGACAACGCAAAGTTGGTGAACATTATTGAGAATTCTAAAAGATGACTACTCCAGGTACCTGTCCTTGCAGGCTGTGGCGTCAACTGAATGATTATCGTCGCTGTACACATTGCAGTGTTGATGCAAATCCAGCCGTAGCTAATGTCCGAATATTAAAGCTCCGAACGAATTTCACCCTTCCGAAATCACCATGAAAGCGACGAATTCGACCCGAACTCACCTCCCATTTTCTCGATGCGGACCAGGAGCGTGCCGACGCGCTGCCTGACGGTGTACATGACACGGCTGTACTCCGCAGCGGGCCACATCTCGTTACCGAACACCGCGCTGACTTTCAAGTGGACTAAAAAAAACGAATTTGAAAGCACTCACCTCCCATCTTCTCGATGCGGACCAGGAGCGTGCCGACGCGCTGCCTGACGGTGTACATGACGCGGCTGTACTCCGCAGCGGGCCACATCTCATTGCCGAAAACCGCGCTCGTCGCCAGCACCTTGTCGCCCTCTTCGATCTGCTTGCTCAGAATGCCCGATTGCCCGGGATACAGCGCGTCGATGTAGATCGCGCCGTCCTCGCCGCGGTAGAATTTGAGGCCGTACGGCCGCTCCAGCTCCACCTCGATGATCTCCCCTGCCCGGACCTCCACGGCGCCGGATTTCGCGGCGGGAGATGCGGCGGCGCGTGTGGTGGCTTTCAAGGAGGGGAGGCGAGCGCCTTGGAAGAAAGGGGTGGCTGAGCTGGAGGCGGCTGATGATGCGGACATGGAGGAGGGGAGGATGCGGAGAGAGCAGGACATGGTAGTCTGCTGCGCCGCTGCTGACGTGGCACCGGTGTGCGACGCCGAGGCGTATGAAGCGACGGAAGCAGCAGCATGGGCAGTGAGGGACGCCATGGTTAGACAATGACAACACAGAGGAGCGAGGGGCTCAAACGTTGAAACGCGAAAAAAAAGGCGCAAGACAGTATAGCCGTCAAAATGGAATCATTAGCCTAGAACAGAGAAAGCCGAGAGCATATACGTTATGGAGATGGGTATTTCTGATTCCCAGTAGGTAATCCCAAGGCCTGGATTTCTCCGGCTTCCCCGATTCCTGCTGGCGCTTGGCTTGGGAATTTGGTGATGTGCAGAGAGGTCAGAATTGGAGGGGGGAGAGAAGGCACGATACGACAATGATTGGTGGATGTTGTGAGGTGCTGAGCTGTCGAGATGCGACGAATCGATGTTCAAGTTTCTAGGAAGGGGGATGTTCCAAAGTTTGGCGGGAAGCTGACTTGGATGCTCAAGTGGTCCCGTGGCCGTCCATCATGGCACTTGGGCGTCTCCAAGATCGTTTGATCCTGGCTGTGAGAGGACACACGTGGAGAAGGTGAACTGGTGTGAGGGCTGGTGCTCAAGGGTTCCACGTAGGAGGAATGGCGGTGCATCAGGTTGTCCGCACCAAATCGAATGGCGAAATGGTTGTCGAATTGCGAAGACTGAGCTGGAAACCGAATTCGCACCTTTGGACTTCGGTTAAATCGCAAGCAGCACACGATGTGCGAGGTTACCCCCCCTTCAGTCGCAAACCCAGCAAATTACTCGATGATAGTCTTGCCACTTCGCTAACACAGGTCGCCATCTCCGTCATTTTCGTGAACAACTCGATTGCCGACCATGCGCTCTTTCTGTTGCACAACAAAAATATTCACTTTCTGTTCTGCGACAACAAATCTCAATTGAACTGCAGAAATTCCTGTCATATCATTGACTGCGATCACCATTTGTGAAACCCCGTGGATTGGAGGCACAGCTTGGAAATGAGTACTAAATCAAGTCTATATTATATTTATTTAATCAATTAATTACAGGAAAGGGAGCCTACAGCAACTAGGGATTAACAGGCTCTCACTGCTCATCTGATCCATCCTCATAGTATCCACCCTCTTCCAGCCACTCGGGTGCAGTCTCACTCCAGGACCTGGAAGGAACCCCTGTCCATTGAAATATAATCTTTTCCAGGCCAGAAAAGAAACCAATAGAGTCGAGAAGAGGGTTGCATGCTCCACTAACAATGCAGTAATTTGCGTTATAAGGAGGACGGTGGTGCGCGCCGTGCATCTTTCTGGAAACTAAGAGGCCGGCGTCTTGGAGAATGGGGACGATTGGAGGGAGGAGGACGCGGGGCGTGTGCGACCAAGCGTGGAAAAGCTGGCTGAACATAACGGAAGCGAGGAAGACGCTAAAGAATATATCTTGCTCGGCCGAATGCGGGAGCAAGAAAATGAATGGGAGCGTGGAGAAAAGAATAGGCTTCGCGAGCGCGTGCAGATTGTTCGCGAATTGTCGCTTGGTGATCGTCCACGGCCGCTTGTGGTGACCCTGAAACGCGTCGATTTGCGGCCCGAAAATCGGCGTCGAACCGTCGCCGTAGTTATCCACTCCAAAGTGATACACACCAGTTCCGAAATCAGCAAGTAAATAGGCCCCAGCAGCCGCTGCAACTGCACCCAGCACGGCTGCAACACTAGCATCATCGACAATGGTAACCACGCCGCGAGCGAACAATGCAGCGAGGGCCACACACGCAGACGCCACCCAGGCTCTGTGCTCATTGGTCGAGACGAGGCTAGTATCCGTTAGCCCCATAGTTTCTATCTTCTGCACCACGGAGTTAATCGCCGCCGCAGTTCCCGCTGCAGGCGGAGCGCTAGCGGGCGCCTCAATCGCCGTGAGTGCATTCGAGACGACGCGTGGGGTTGCGCTTGCACGGACATCGCGTGGGGGGAGGTTTGCGCGGACGCGGAGAGATGCGGGGCTCGGGGCGGGGGAGAGTCTTGTCGCGGGTGTCGTTTTCGAGCACAGGCGAAGGCCGTGGTGTAGAGCGATTGCGGGCGCCATGATAGCCGTGGTGTAGCAGTGAAAGTACGTACCGAATTCAACCGAAGCTGTGCTAAGACTTTGAGAGATAACTCTACAAATTGGACTGGCGGCAGTTGAGTTATGGAATTGGTATGCGAGGGTCGCGGTTGAGGTATGTAAGGTAGCTGAAACCAACGCTTCTTTATCCAAGTTGCTTCGTGAATGGCTAGCTTCCTTTAGGAAGGCTGCGGCGGTGGTGACCTCTGGAGGCCTCCCAAACAATAACTGCGGCTGTGGCACACGTCACGTCGCATCTGCCCAGTCCAGGCACTCTGTCTCTGGATTGCTGGGTCGTTCGTGAGTTGTGACACCCAACTCCTGGCTCGCCCCCTATGGACGGAAATGCACCACTCCGCGCCGCGCATGGCCCGCATATTCGCAGAAAACCCTGCCGCACATTTGTGCTGGGGGGAGGGAGGGGAGGAATATTTCTCTGCCGATGTGTCAAATCTTGGGGCGTCGATCTGAGGTTTGCGAACCTACACCGGCTTCTACGGTGGGAGCTCGTGGCTTAGGATCACACGTGTCGGCAAACCGCGCCACAAGCTCAGCCAATAGTACTGCGTCTCCCCACCACCACAAGTCGAAAGACCACTGGTTCTATCAAGCCAAGCTGGGTGCAGAACCCGTTATTGCGTGACGCAGCAAGGCGGACGAGGAGATGCATAACAAAAACTGTATACAAGCAGCCTCTTGAGTTTATTAAGCACCAACTCCATGTACCGGTACTTGTTGCATACATAACTTCTTCCCTGCAGCTATTATCGCCCTTCAGAAGCCAAGAATGTCTGCACGTGATGAAAGGTAAAATTCCATCAACAGACAAGGTGCTGGTAATGGTTAGTGAAAACAATATTGAGGATAGGAAAGTGAAAGTAGACAAATCAATCAAGAAAACGATGGCATGTTAGCTTCAACTTGATGTACCTGTTGAGCTTGTCGTGAACACTCAACGAACTTGTTCACCACACTTGAACAAGAGAGCGGATCCTGAAAACACCACCGCAAATACAAAGTGGTTTGGTTCGATTAAGGCCAAAACTTCAACCAACCGGTAATAACCAACCGGTTTTGCCAAACTTAGTACCAAACAACTTTTGTCACCATACCTTCAAGTTCTTAGTGTAGCATCTTAGGCATTCCTCCCTCTCAGGTTGGCAAGGCACTTCCCTCGACGGTGGTCTGATTTGGAAAGGCGGGAAATGGGGTTGTAAAATGAAACTTAATATCTGAAATGCAATAAATAAGGTTGGAACCTTCTCGCCTACTTTTGATTGTGAGTATTAGAGCCTCAAATACGTCACACTAAAAAAAATCTGAGAGATTTTGACATTGTATTCACCTGAACTGCTGTGCCTGCAATGCTTGCGCCATGTTGGTGGCACGGGCAGCCTCCTCCTGCCGCTCACGAGCAATGTCGGCCCGTAGAGACTTCTGGCAACGTGGAGATGGTGGGAAAGGAGGAAGGAAAAAAAAGTTTTCTGACATGAGAGTGAAGGGCCGGGAACGAATTGTCACAAATAGACGCGTGAGGGGACGGCAGAAAATGACTAAGCACCTCTTGTAGTGTGGTTCCCACATCTCTCACACCACCCACACCACTCACACCACCCACACCACCCACCACTTGATCCAAAGTCTTCTCCAAATCCGCCAGCTCCTCCTTTCTCCGCTGCACTCTGTACACCGCCTCTGCCTCTGCTGCAAACCCCACTCCAGAAGCAGAACCACCACCAGAATCAGCAGCAACGGCCGAATCAGCTACCGCCACAGAAGGGGCAGTCACAGCAGAGCCGAAGAACAGCGGATTCAGACTGGGAGGAAGAGGTGGAGGAGCATGCAGCAGCGCAGACGAAACGTTGCCTCCATCTGTCACTCCCCCCGCTTGATTTCTGGCATGCTCCCCGCGGCCCCCCCTACCCTTCCCCTTCTTTCCGGCTCGCTTTCGCTCGTTCTCGCCCGCTTCCTCTGCGAGCATCTTCCGCACGAACCGGTCCGTCACCTGAGGTGGGGCGCGGGCGGGTGAGGAGAGGAGAGGGTATGAGGAGGGGAATGGGTAGGCAGAAAACGCCAGGTGCAGTGTTGAGGCGTGTGGTTTCCTCTGCCAGCATCTTCCGCACGAACCGGTCTGTCACCTGATGCATGGTGGCAGTGGGTGGCGCTAGGGTAGTGGGTTGGCGAAATAAAAAGGGTGGGGCGGGGTAAGCAGGTGGAAAGTCGGCAGTGGTTGCGAAAGAGGCAGTGCGAAACTCTATGTGGAGTAGCGAACCGTAAGATATGTGAAAAGGGGAAAGCCAGAGGGTAGGTCGAATTCGATAAGTCGCAACAAGCTACACCTAACGGGAACCGTCAAACGGACAGAATGACTCCACAAGAAAGTAAGGAGATTCGCACCTGAAGCGCTGGCTGCGGTTTATCAGATCCCATAGTTGCGTCGCGGTGTTTTGCAGAACAATGGCGGCGAGAATGTGCAAGCTAAGGAACGGACGTCAATGAGGGCTGACAGAAGAACGCAATGCAATCGAACAGCACCCCTGAATTGCATCTGGACTTCGGTCCAAACATTCTCAAGGAAGTTTTTGCTTCATAATATTCGTGTAGAGTTGAGAACCACCGTGGGCTGTAATTTGATCGGAGTCTGCTTTTAGAAGGTATATTCGTTCATTGGTTCGGTTGTTGCGTGTACCAAGAAGCAAAACCCGTGGCATCCGCGATTGGTCCACAAGCTAGTTTCCGAGCCTAGCTTTGGGGAACCAGGCTTGGAAAACTGCTCTGACCTCCTGTCAGTCTTTTGGTGGAAGCCTTTTGGTATCGATAAATTTTGCTTTAGCCGAACCAGCGGTTCAGGAAATCGTCCAATTGGAAGACGAAAGGCGCACAACAGCACCAGCCAAACGAACCCAGAATGACGTCACACGGGAATTGTTGGCTGCCCACGAAGCAGTTGCTGTTGCGTGCGCGGCTTCAGCGAAGTGTACCATTTATGTACACCACGGTTGTGCATGGTGAGTCGCGTTTCAAAACAGTCAGAGGATAATCAGCCAATCACCGCGCAGAAAGCTTCTGAACCGGACGGAACGACAGTGAATGAACACGGCCAGGAAACCATGGGATCGCGGCGGATATATCGGTGGAAACCATGGCCTGATGGCTGAAAAGTATCGGAAGGAAATTGGTCAGTCAGTTCACAAGCTTCCCGAACAACACAAGTAGCCAAGTAGCTTGAAGCTGTCAGACATGGTTGAATAGCACGCTTTCACAACGAGGCGATTCGTGATTCTAGACGTTAAAGGGGTCGCGATGCGCGTTGCTCTACTTCTGCTGCGTGGGTCCTCTAACGATAGATCTGGTTGGAGGTAGCCGAATTCTTACTTTTCTGGGTCGTTGTCGAGTTAAGCTACAATGAACTCGACGTGAGAGGAGATCACGAAACCTGCTCCTTACCTGACATGTTATCTTAGCGCGTTTGCCTAGTACTCGAGCCATTGTCGTGAGTCATGGGAACTGTGGGCCCTTTCGCTAGCAGCCGTAGATTAAGTAGTTTCCTGGCGGAACGGTGTTAATATTATTTTCCAGTTTCTCCGTGTCTGAAGTTACGTCAGCAATTGAGCTCATAACCATTGCTGAGGAACCCTCCTAGACATAGATCAAGATGGTTTTCCCAATCCTCAAGCTAGGCGCATTGGCGGTCAAGACGATGAGCAAGCCTCTAGCCAATGCGATCAAGCGGAGAGCCAAGAGCCATCCCAAATTCCGGGGAACCATCATCAACTTCGCTCAGGTTGGTTGTTTGTACCAATTCTGTCGCATTCTCACCTCGATTTTAATTAAATCTCCATATGCATATGGCTGGCTGTGCCTCCCTGATTCCCAACGGCTCTCTTTGACAACCACCGTTTCTCTTTATAGACTGGATCTTGCACCTGATCCCACCCCTTGTACGTCCAGGCACCCCGTTTCTCATTAGTTGCGTCTCTTCCCATCTCTTCGTTTCATGTGCAGAGCTATCATAAGATCAACGTAGGGTTGCAGCGTCGGCTGTACGGCTACAGCACGAACGTGGACATCAAGCCGCTGATCGAGGAGAAGGCGGTGGAGACTGCAGCAGACCTCGTGGGCGAGCTTGTAGTCTTTGGGGTGAGTCGCCTGGTTTGGTTGCTGTTAGAGTCAGTTGGTAGCTGCTGATGTCCTTCGTATGCGGTTGTGGGGATGTCTGGTGTTTGTTGGAGTCCTCGGGTACTGGGTTGCTTTGTTTTTTGTGGGATCCCTCCGGGACTTTGGAATGGGTTATATCGTGAGCTGGGAATTGAGATTTCGTGGTGGCTGAAGTGGGGACGTGAGATTGATGGGTTGTGAAATGGCTGAACTGGTGATGTCGTGCTGGAGTGATGCATGCGTGCTTTTGCAAGGATAGGATGTGACGGTGGTGGGATAGCGTCTGTTGTCACAGCCAGTTCCATATTGTGAAACTGTTTCATGCGATGGGTTGGATCGGCTGGCTCGTGCTTGTGTGTGATGTGTCATTTGATTATTTTCGGCAGGTGGCTGGCGGTGTTGTTGTTGCAGAGTACACAAGAAGCTCAATAGCTGATTCGAGGAAAGAGGAGAAGAGAAGGCAGGAACGTGAGGTGAGTGTTGACATTCAAGGGTTCCTTTGTTCTACTTGCCGATTATGTGATCGTCTGAAGAATCTCATTTGCTTCTCCATTGCCTTTTGTGTTTGTTCTCTATTCTGTTTGTCTTCACCACACCCAGGCTCTTCGACAAAAGGACCTTGAGCTTGAGCGTGATTTGCAGATGCTGAAGGCACGCTTGGATGCATTGGAGAGTGCAGAATCTGACAGCTGGCTCCCACGCATTCTGCGAGGCAGCACTATAACGTTGGGTGGGGGCACCCGCAGCGCAACCAGTCCTGCCCCAAAAAATAGTGGATCGGCAGCAAGTGAAGTGGAGACAACAGAGGCTCACGAGGAGGAGGATGGGCAGGGGTCCGAGGAGACAGATGAAGAAAGCCACAATAAGGATGGTTCTAGAGAGAAGTAACATTGGATGGTCATGCAATCTAATCATGCAGAATTTCTGTATCTAAGCTATTGTTGAAGAATGATGATGCCATATAATTTAGGCTGCCCTGCTTATTTGCTGTGTATTGTTTGCACTCAATAGTCCTTCCTCTCATGAAACTATCTACCAGATAGCGTGCTGTACAAATGTGATATAAAAGCGTTGACCAAAACCTACACTGTATGGCGGACAACAACATCGCACGGCTAGTGAGTGGGTACAGTGAACATGCTGCCAATTTGCGCTGTTTCACATGTCGTGACTAGTGAATTTGACAATGGTTGTTGGTTCCATGCTGGGCGTCGTTTTCAAAGCTGCCGAGGCATGATACACCTGAGGAACTGAACCAAGCGGAGGCTGGATTTCTTTCGCCCTTCAACAGACCGAGCCAGTTACAGTATGAGCCAATGGAAGGTTGTGAAGGACTGCAACCATTGGCTTAGTTTTGTTTCTGTGGTCAGTGTTTATGTACGGCGTTAGGCTTGGCAGGTCAGCCAGGATTTTCTGGGTATGGCTGGGCTTACCCTCGGCCTTGTTCTGTTGGCGCATTAGGGGTGCTGAGCCCAGACTTTGAACATTCGCGGAAAACGCGAGGTAAGGGTAGCACACATCGGGCCTCCCAAGTCGTTATTGTCTCCCGAACCTCTGGTGCGGGAGTTGTGCGCGCATTATTCATGCGTGCGCAAAAACGTTGAGCTCGATGTGCGCTGAGAAAATTCCACGAGCGTGGTTTCACGGGCAAATTTCCCGCATGGTCTGTGCGAGCCGTATGCGCTCGTCGACGGCGAATTGAAGAGGCGCACAACCAATAACGGGCAGATTTAACGCCCGTTTTGGGGTAATTGTTCGGTGAAATACTCACCCCTAAAACAATTTGACGGTTAACGAGTAAGACAGCCACATCCAGAGCATCAGTTTGCAAGTTTTGCACTCAGAAAGGGTGCCAGGGCAGTGCGAAACAGAAAATTTTCGGGCACACGGGAAAAAACTGTTTGTAGTTTTGTCGATTAGTAAACCCTTCGACGATGCTGCAGGCCCTTTTTACTTTCGCGGAAAACGTGGTCCACAGGACCTGTGCGGCAGAGGCGATGGCCTGTGCGCCAACAGAACAAGGCCCTTCTAGCGACGAACCACATCTTCGCGAAACCAAGGTTCGACGAAATGCTTCGCGGGGCAGCTGAACTATTATGCGACGACTCTCGCTCGTCGCGCTCCAACCGCCTCCTCCAACCAAGAGCAACAAACCCGTTGGGCTGGGTGGTTCGCATGGTAACAATCAGATGTCACGACGAGACCACCTTAATACCAAAGCACCGCCTTGTACCGTTGCAAGATGTGGTTCTTACCATGGATGTCATCCAAGACCGCCATATTTGAGGGACATCCGCGGAAGGTAGGATCATGCATTGGCCATGGCTGTGGTTGTTGGTCATCACTCCCTGACTGATGAAGCCCCGAAGGGACAGAGGGTGGGGAAAGGCAATCCCAAGGCTGGCGGCGAATATCTGTGGTGGTGCTGTGTCGTGTGCCTCGACTCTAGTTGAAAAGCAATGGAGGTTTTTGTTTCTGTGCACCTCTCTGCCAAAGGATGGTGGTCGACTGGGCTTCACCTATTCAGTTCAGTAGATTAGGAGGAGGAGCGAGCTATAGTCAGTCCATAACGGCCATCCGCCATGTTTGTCTGCATTATGTGAAGGATATGTCAGTTGTTTTTCTGTCTTGTGATATGATAATGCATCTATGGTAGACGCTGAGCCATTCTTTTCCTGAAGACGGTCCATGACAGTCCCAGCATTATCATTTTCAGCTCTTATTTCCTTCAAATCAGATGCTTTAGAATCTTAGAGCTCGTTTTTCCTGCTTTCACGTCGGCTTTACTACCATATTGTACTTTACTTCATTTACCAATGGCGATCTACAGTGACAAGCCTCTTTCCATACGCATGGGCGACGCGGCCATAGACGCGTTCACAGGAGCACAGCCAGTCTCTAAAGTCCTCCGATACTACCCAGAGCACGAAATAGTCGCCATCAGCAACGCACGCGACGCACGAGACGAGTCGCCTCCTCCCCTCCCCCCGGACCATCTCCTCGTTCCGGGTCGCTCTTACCTACTTCTACCGAAGATTAAGCCCAAGCCTACCGGCGGCATTGGCGTTGCGGGATTGCGGTTTCCGAAAAGCGCGTCCGTGGCCGTGGGAGAGACGGCTCGCGACGCGAGAGCCGGCGGAGAAGGCGGAGGGAGTTACAGCAGCATGCAGCGCGCATTACGGAAAGCGGGATCGCAGGCTTTGGAACGGTCCGACGTGGATCCGGCTCTATGCTCCCCGACAGAGGTGAGAGAGCAAGTTAAGTCTAGCATTTATAGAATCTGCGGAGCAACTTGAGCAGGGTCACATGCTTTTGAACGGTGGAATGTGGATATAACGTCGTTCTTACGAAAGCTGTGGTAGGTCAAAGGTGAAACACTGGGAACAGTGAAACACTGGGAGCGTTGGAAAACGGTGAAAATGTCCGTTCATCTCATTGTGTTCGGTGCGGAGCACGGAATGGATGGACATTGCGTTTCTGGATCGTGCGAGAGAAAACCCTGGGGCGAGTGATACCTGGATGACTTTATATAGGCTATAGCACAGGCGAGAAGAACGTGCCGCATGTGTCGAACAAATGCTCACGCTATTACGATTGCAATGCGAATGACGCGGATGATTGCGAATGACGCGGATGATTTCGAAGGGAGGGTCAAAAGGAAGAGAAACGGCTGAAACTTCTTAGACAAGGCGGAATCACTGGTTAATCAAGTCCTCCTTAAAGCAGCTGACTCTCCGTACGCCCTTCCGCCCGCTTTGCCCCTAATCTCCTTCTCCCGTTCCCCATTACCCCGTCCTCCTCTCCCATTCTTGTCCCTTCCTCCCCCCTTGTTCTTTTTTCGTTGCCGCGCGTGCCTTCAAGCCCGCGGCTCTCCTGTCCCCTTTGAGAATTCTAAAAAGTTCCCCTTTTTCCCTCGTTTCGTCTCCCCGTTCTCCCCACTCTCTCCCCAGTCAACTCCCCAGGATCCGCCGGGCGCTCGTGCCTTCAAGCCCGCGGCTCTCCTGTCCGGTCGACCGCCCACCCCTCCCACCCACCGCTCCTCCTACAGCTTCTCCTGCTCCCCCTCGCACCCCCACACCTCCACCTCGCCTCCCTCCCACCTCTCCTCCTCTTCCTCCCCGCCTCCCCCTCACCACGTCTCTACCGCCGCGGGAAAAGGTCTGAGAGCAGCAGAAGCAGCATTCGGCTCAGGTGAAAACCCAGGTGCGCGGATGGACCCCTGGGATCAGAGCTCAGGTGGGGGGGGGCACGGACCGTGGAGTGAGCTTGCCGTGATTGACTCTGATCGGTCTGACTCGAGCCTGACTGAGAGGCAGAATGAGAGCCAAAGTGAGAGTCAGAAGCAGAGTGAGATTAGTGAAATGCAGAGTGGGCCGTGGGGCCAGAGTTCGGCTGCTGGGCAGACTGACGTGTTTGTGGTGCGCCCTGCCTCGCCGTCCGATCACCTAGGTGTATCCAGTGAGGAATCCGACGGTCAGGATGCAGGGCCGTCGCAGAGATCGCTGCAGAAACTGCAACAGCAGCAGCAGCAGAATCAGAACGAGAACGAGAATCAGAGCCAGCAGCAGCCGCACCCCCATCGCGTGCTGGTCCCCGTGATCTTCCGCTCCCGCCGCGGTTCCGCCCTCCGCTTCCCCCGCTCCGCCTCCGCATCCGAAGCCATGCCCTCCGCCACCTCCGATTCCGCCACTGATTCCGCTGTTGATTCCGCCTCCCCCTCCTCCCTCTCCCCATTCCTCTCCCCCGCCCATCCCTCCCCCCACGCCACGCCCTCCCCTTCCCACGGCTCCCCTTCCCCCATCAAAGGGAAATTATCTTCTAAAATCACCTCTAAGCCGTCCGCGAAACCCGATTCCGCCAAGCCCTCCGCGCAACCCTCCGCCAAGGTGTCCGCGGAGTCCCCCCGCGAGCGCGCGCGCGCCAGCAGCTCCCTGCACCGCAAGCTGTCGCGCACGAGTAGCGGAGGAGGCGGGGCGGACGGAGGGGATGGGGGGAGTCATGCTGGGGGAGGAGGGGGGACTGGGGGAGGCGGCACTGGGACAGGCGGTTCTGGGGAGGGCAGTGCTGCGAGGAGGCGAGACAAATCAACGGCTGGCGGCACCTCTTCCTCTCCCTCATCCTCCTCACTGCCTCCCGTCCCCTCTCCCGGCTCCTCGCCTCTCCCTCGCTCCCTCCATTCCAACAGCACTATGTCTAGAACGAACCGTCCCTCCTCCCGCGAGGGTAGATCTACCTCCGATCCCAGCAACCTGCTAAGCGCGAATGAAGCTGCCGCTGCTGCTGCTGCTGCCGCTGCTACTGCTACTGTAGCTGGTGCTGCTGCGGGTGCTGCTGCTACTGGTGCTTATAGCACCAGCAGCAGCACGCAGCGACCAAACAGCCGCCCGTCTTCCCGCGAGGGTCGATCCACCTCCGACCCCAACAACCTGCTGAGCGCGGCTGAAGCTGCTGCTGCCGCTGCTGCTTGCTCCACCATCAGTAGCAGCAGCACCGTCAGCAGCATGGGGGCGTTCTGTGGCACTGGCAGCAGCACCAGTACCACCGGCACCGCCAGCACTATCAGCAGCACCAGCAGCGGCAGCAGCAGGGGTGGAAGGGCGCGTAGGGGCGTGCATGCGAGCAGTGTGAGCTATGGTGGGGTGGGGCTTGATGGGACCGTTGGGGAAGGGGGCAGCCCAGACCTTTGCTTTGCGAACAGCGCTGGTGGTTACCGCGACAGCAGCGGGGACCGTACCAATAGCGGTGGTAACCGCAGTAGCATTGCTGGGAGTGCAGATTCTGTGAAGGTCGCACACAAGGCAGAGAAGGCGGATAAGACAGACAAGTCAAGCAAGTCAGACAAGCCAAAGAAGTCAGCAGGCAAGTCAGAGGATCTGGAGGAGCAGTCAAACAAGTCAAAGGAGTCAACCACAGGTGATAAATCCCGGGCGCTCCTCCGCGCTGCTTCCCAGGGGAGGGAGATTGACCGGGCCAGACTGGGCTGTAGCAGTCCTGAGGCGAAGCTGGGGGGGAGGAGTCACACGGAAGGGAGGGAGGAGACGAAGGAGAGGATGATAAGAGAGAGGAAGAAGGGACGGGGAGGGAGTATAGGCGGGGATGCTGATTTGGGGGGATTCGGCCCTGAAACGAAGGTGGGCGGGGGGAACCACATGGAAGGGAGGGAGGGGATGGGCGAGAGGGTGAAGGGGAGGATGAGAGAGAGGAGGGGGAGTGTGAGTGATGTTGACGGTTTGGGTGGATTTGGTGGTGAGGCGAGGCTGGGTGGGAGGAGTCAAACGGAGGGGAGGGATGAGATTTTTGAAAGGGCCAAGGAGAGGAGGCGGGAGAAGGAGAGGGAGAAGGAGAGGGAGAAGGAGAGGGAGAAGGAGAGGGAGAAGGAGAGGGAGAAGGAGAGGGAGAAGGAGAGGGAGAAGGAGAGGGAGAGGGAGAGGGAGAAGGAGAGGGAGAGGGAGAAGGAGAGGGAGAGGGAGAAGGAGAGGGAGAGGGAGAGGGAGAGGGAGAGGGAGAGGGAGAGGGAGAGGGAGAGGGAGAGGGAGAGGGAGAAGGTGGGCATGCAGGGTGTTGGTTCAGCCGGTCATACCAAGCAGAAGCACCGTCCTCCAACAATTTCCGACCATGCTCACGAGCAGCAGCAGCAATTGGAACATCAACAGGCTGTGGGTTGCAGTGATGATCAGGTAGAGGAGGAGTTGAAGGAGCAGGGGCAGGATGAGCCTCCCTCAGATGCGCCCTGTGAGGACTGGTCGCGCAGCATCAGCCTCGCCCATACTCTCAACATCTCCCAGGGCAGCCCCGCTCCTCCCCACGCCTCTGCTTCTCACTCCGTTCATGCTGCTGTTGCCTCTGCAGCTGATGCTGATGCTGCTGATGACGATGATGATGGTGTCGATTCGGGGTTCACCTGCTTTGATCCTTCTTTTGACGGCCTGCTCGCTCCTCATGCTGCCGATCCTTCCAGCATCGGGTATCGATCAGATGTGGCGTCAGAGGCATCCGAGCCTCTTTCCAGCTTCCGTCTTGGCCCTGCCGACCCAGACCTTGCGAGCCCCAGGTTTGGCCCGGTGAAGAAGAAGGAGCTTTCCTCCGGAGCTGGGCAGCAGGTCCGGCAGGATGATTCGGAGTTGGGTAGCTCAGGTTCGGAAGCAACAAGTCCAGGTACAGGCAGCGGGAGTGACCGCAGCAGAGGCAGAAGCAGAAGCAGGAGCAGGGGTGATAGTAGAAGCAGAAGCAGCAGCAGGGGCAGTGATGATAACGAGGGCCGAGGAATGCACCAGGAGGATGAAAGTGACAACAGCAGGCGTGCTGGTAAGGAACGGAGAAGCAGTGAAGGGGCGAGCAGAGAGCATGCAAGCAGCAAAGAAAGTGCTCCTGGTCGTTCCAGAGAAACGGTGAAAGCGGGGAGTAGCAGAGACGGCATGAAAGCACGGAGAAAGAGCATGGAAGGTGGTGCTACAGTGGCAAAGTCTCAGGAGGAGGAGCCGGGTGTAAGTGCTGCAGCTGATGTCACTCTAGCGCTCTGGTGCTTAAGAGAGTCTCTTAGCATGCAGCGGCAGCAGGAGGAAGAGGAGAAACTCGCGCGGGGAAGCAAGGGCGAAGGTGGCGGTGGAGAGGGAGGGAGAGCGGTTGGAGGGGGTGCAGAGGGTGATGCTGGGGTGCAGGGCAAGGGAGGGGAGGCGGATCGCAACAGAAGCCCTCTGAGGAGGTTCCTCGGCGCCTTGTCTCTTGATATATCAGCAGCTGACGTCCCTGTTGTTGCTGTTGCCCCTGCCGCGTTTGGCGGCCTTTATGCCAGCGGATTTCCTGGTGCAAGCGGCCTACCCACTAGCATTGTATCAAAAGCAGAGGGTCGCAAGCAGGCAACGCCGGGGGAGGCTGAGGAGCAGGTGAAGCACAAGAATCAACACCCGCAGCAGCAGCAGCAGAAGCCGCAGCAAGAGAGGCAGCAGGAGCAGCAGCAGCAGCAGCAGCAGGAGGGAGGCGGTCGAAACCGCAGCCCTATGCGCCGCCTCCTCCGTGCTCTCTCCATAGAAGCTTCCACGGAAGCTGCAGCAGTGGTTGCGGCTCTTCAGTCCTCCTCTGCTGCCGCTGTGCCTCTCACCTCTGGCCCCTCGGCTGCCCGCGCATCCCACCGCTACCCGCGATCGCAGTCCCTCACCACCAAACTTACCAGCAGCATTAGCATCGGCACCAACAGTATTGGCGGTGGTGGTAGTGGCGGGGATAGCAGTGGCGGTGCTGCTGCTGCTGGTCGCTCTGCTGGTGGTGGTGATGGTGGTGGTGGTGGTAACAGTGGTAGTGGCAGTAGCAGCAAGGCACGAAGTGGTGGTGGTGGGGGCGGAAGTAGCAGCAGCAGTCACGGCCACAGTCGCAGCAGCAGTGCCATTCTCAGCCTAGGAACCAGCAGCAGCAAGCACAAGAGCAGCAAAGAGGAGAGCGATGCTGAGCTAAAAGCAGCCCTCGAGGCCTTCAGAAAGCGGGTGGAGATGCTAAGTGACACGTGTCACTTAACTTATGCTGCTAATGTTGGTGCGCAAGGGTCGGGAGGAGGGGGTGGGGGGAAGAAGGGAGGGACGTGGAAGCCACGGCTGCCAGATGTGAAGGAGGTGGAACAGCCGAACAAGTCGCTAGCAGGTTCATTGTCGTTCCATGCTGACAGGCGAAGAGCTTTGTCTGATCAGCTTTCTCTTTGGATCAAGTGAGACACTGGTACTGTTTTGAAAGGCATGAACGAACGACGGCCATGTCGTATTGCTATTGAACAATCTGGTGAGCCAGGTGTGTGGACTTCTGTCCTACTGTCAAATGTATCATGCGCGTCTTGATTTGTGACTTGAGATGTATGGATATGTAGAAAGCTGGTTGATGTTCTGGGAATACTTTTGTGAAATCTCTGCCAAATGACTGAAGCACCTATTAGGCTGGTGCCTTGGAAAGTTAGCGTCCATGTCATAAAATGAGAATCTTGATGTTACAATCGATAGTTTATCGATAGGCTAGAAATTTCCCAAATGCGACCTTTAATCTGCATGTCAGAAACGCGTATTGCGTGGCGACGCCAAGATTCACGGGCCTAGCCAGTGGCCGCGACAGCTATATGATGCCACGTTTTGCGTTCACGTTTCGCATCGACTCGCCTCCTCGCCACTCACGTCGCTAAACGATATTATTTTCGTTAAAACATTCTGCTGGTTCAGGACTGGTGAACGAAGCTTGTCAGAGTTACCACAAATTCCTTCTTTATTGGAAGAATCCCCACAACAGACCAGCTTCACCCTGCAAGGAAGCATTCGGATTCGGGCTTGATGTATGACGTGGCTAGAATCTGGAGCCTCCTAGAATATGTAGAAGTCTGACCACTCTCCTACTAAACGGTTGTGAATGTTCTAGACTGGGCAGCAGTCTATTGAAGGCAGCAGGATTCCTGCTTTCACATTGCTGTTATTGGTTGTCTATAGCTACTATAGCGTGATTCCGCTGTTGATTCTTCGCTAAGCCGAACCGCCTGGTGCAACGCCGTGCCTTTTGAACGTTACTGAAACCCTATGGAGCGTCTCGTTATAAGCTCATGCGCGCTACCCTGCAGTGCAGCCGCTGCGACTTCTTCGCCTCCTATTCTTGCATCAACTGTCAGCGACGGCACTGCTTCGCGAAACGCTCGCTCTGTATCCGCCGTCCATCGGCAGCATTCCCTTCTACCACGTGTGCACGCCAACCAGACGGGAGGACGCCATGTGGGTGAACTCCGCGTCCCCAATGGACAGTAAGTGTTCATCTGTGCGGATATGAGACTCGGGTTTTACTGGTCACAGATTCGGAAGATATTCGTTATCTTGGATTGCTCCATTTCGCCGGCTGCCTTTGGATTCACACGCACAAGTCAGGCGTTTGAATAGTCTTTGGTATATTAGAAACCATCTTAGGTAGGACCAGAACACAAGCGGTTTGTCTCTCGTTTCGCTGATTTCTCCCTTCTGCCCAATCCACATCATTCCCTCCCTTTGTTCATTTCATAAGGCTTGCCGCGGCTCGGTTCATACCGTCTCTCCACTCCGGCTCCACCCGTCGTGTACACTGTAACGCGTCTGCTGGTAACGCGGACGGAACCGGGTCGAATGATGACAAAGGGGAGGGAAAGGGGGAAGAGGAGGCGGGGAAGGAGAGAGGGGGAAATGGAGAACCTGAAAAGACGGATAAGAGGTCGGACGATGCTGTATCTGGTGAGGGTAAGGACAAAGCCGCAGATGTTACTAGCGGGTACGTCACTAGCGAGGATGAAAGCGCGGACATCGTGAGCAGCCTGGGGGATTGGCGGGAGTTCCGCGCGCGTCTGATCCGCGGGGAGGTCGGGGTTGCGGGGGAGGAGCCTGGCGCATCTAAAGCAACGGACGGTGGAGATGCGTTGACAGGCAGCACATCAACGGCTGGAGGCTTGCCAGGCTTGGACGATGTAGCAGCAGCAGGCTCAGCCACAGCAGCAGCAGCAGGAGGAGAAGCAGTAGGGGATGCAGAAGGAGGGGAGAGAAGAAGCAACGTAACCTCCCCATTCTCTTCCTCCTCCTCTCCCTCCTCGTCCGCCTCTCCCTCCTCCCCCAAGTCATGGGCTCACCCCATTGCAGTGCCAGAGACTGGGTGTGTGCTGCTGGCGCATCCCAGGGCGTTCGGGGTGTCTCAGCAGTACTTCAACCGCGCTGTTATCTTCCTGCTCATGCACGGGTGAGCGCGAGAGGAAGGGGGAGAGGGAGGGAGAGAGGGAGGGAGAGAGGGGAGGGACGAGAGTGAGGGAGAGAGGGAGGGGGAGGGAGGGAGAGTGGGAGGGGAGAGGGAGGGAGAGAGGGAGAGAGAGGATCAGTTGGTGTGTGATGCATTTGTACTGGAGGTTTATATGCATTTGTTGCTGTATACGAATGACTTCACTTAAGTGGGGGAGGGGCTGCTTCTTCGAGTTCTTTCAATTGCATTGCGTCTTGGTCTCCCAACCTGCCCATGCCTCTCCCTTTTCTCCCACCCTCGCCCCCATGTCATGTCCTCAGACCACAAGGCACTGCAGGCGTGATTCTGAACAGGTACGTCCCATCGTCCCACCATCCCACCATCCCATTATCTCACCGTCCCACCATCCCACCATCCCGCTGTTCCCAGTGTCTTTCCATGTTTATTTTCTCCCCGCGAATCCCTACTCTCCCCCGCCCCAACCCCCTCCTCCTCCACCAACCCCTCTTTTCCTTCGTGCACCCTCTGTTTCCAATCTTGCCTCATTTCACCTATTCCTCTCTCCCTCTCGTTCTTCTCAGTCCCTCACTCTCTTTCCCTCTCTCACGCTTCCCAATCTTCGTCCTCCCAGGCCCTCACAATACACGCTCGGGCAGCTTGCAGGCTTCGAGGAGCTCCTACCAGAATTTTCGGCCTGCCCGTTATATCTGGGCGGCGATGTCGGCTCAACGTCCACGCACTGCCTGCATGGGGTGGCGGATTTGGTGGGGGGGGAGGGGGGCGCGCGGGAGGTGTGTCCGGGGGTGTATGTGGGGGGATACTCGCGGATCAAGGAGCATGTGGGGAGTGGGAAGAGCAACAGCGTGGACTACCGATGGTTTGCCAGATATGCTGGTGAGTGGTGATGTGGGGGGGCCACAGGGGAACGGGCGCATGGGTGCACAGGGGAACAGGGGCACCAGGGCAATGGGGCACCGGGGCATGGGGGAATGGGGGCGTGGGGGAACCGGGGCGAGGGGGAATGGGGGCACGGGGGAACGGGGGTACTGGGGAATGGGGGAACGGGGGCACGGGGGAACTGGGGCACGGGGAAACAGGGGCATGGGGGAACTGGGGCACGGAGGCACGGGGTAACAGTCACTCTCTTTGTTGATATTTTTTTTCTTCTTCTCTCCCAGAGTGGGCGCCATGGCAGTTGGAGAGGGAGTTTACAGCATGGGTGTGGTGACTGGGGGCATTCTCGCCTGACCTACCTTTCTCTCGCTCCTCTAATCCCACACCCTCGACTCCCACCACTTTTCGCTATCACCTAGCCTCCTGACGCCAACTCCCCTCCCTTTGCCCCTCCTTTAACTCCCTCTCCCCTTCCAGGCTGGGCGCCAGGGCAGTTGGAGCGGGAGGTGGCAGCAGGGGTGCGGTACTTGGGAGCATGCTCGCCAGACCACCTCTTCTCCTGCTTCCTCTGATCTCGCCTTCCCTACTCCCACCCCCCCTACCCATCTGCTACCATCTTTCCTCCTCTTCCTCTCCCGTCCCCTTCTATATCTTCCAGGATGGGCGCCAGGGCAGTTGGAACGAGAGGTAGCAGCAGGTGTGTGGTACTTGGGAGCATGTTCACCAGACCTCATTCTCCGGCATTCCCTGAGAGAAACTGTTCCTGTAGAGAGCGCAGGTGACAGTGGCAATAGCGAGATTGACAGTATCGAGGCCGCGGAGAGGGATGTTCAGAGCAGCGAGACAGGCGGTGTGGGAGGGAGGAGAGACGGAGTGGTGGGTGTGAGTGGGAACACAGGGCTGTGGAGGGAGGTGATGGAGTTGATGGGGGGAGAGTACGCTCTTCTGTGTAAACAGGCAGATGGTGAGCTGTAGATAAGGATTGAATGCGCAGGGTTTCATGACAAGTTTTTGATAGTGATACGGTCACACTGCCTGCTATTACACCATAAGCAAATGTTGGCAACATTACCGTATAGTCCCTTCCCTTGCTTTCCCCACACGCGTTAAATTCTACCCAAAATTGAGCTCAAAGGGTGATTTTTATGAGGTTCAATGGGGCATGCTAAGATCTAGAGGTCTATTCAGTGTTTTGGAAGGTTGAGAAAACTGGATCAAATCCTTGCAGACAAGGCATATGCATTTATTGGATTATCACAATTCATAACAATCCAGGGCAAAGCTACGGCCCATAGAAAAAAGAGGCTGCTGCATGCAAGCCTGAATTCACGGTGTCACTTGATCCAGCAGTTGAGATGATCGGACGGTGGGAATTGTCTGCCACCGTCTAGAGAACTCCGCGACTTTGTGATACAAATAAGGCGGCGGGTTTCTGATTCTGCGGTTGCCCCTTACGGGAGATCGCTCCGCCACGCCACACGCAACTTTGGCAACGCGCACGCTCAGTTCCCTGGCAACACCTCCGCATTCACTTCCGTGATTTCGCCCTGGTTCGTAACCTCTTCGCGAAACGTGCCAATTTCGCTCGCAAGCAGCATCTCGTCGGTGAACAAACAGGCGTCGTCGTCCGAGAAAGCAGCGTCGTCCAGATCGTCAAGCCCGAGATACGCGTCGCAAATGCTCGCCACGGGTAACCGGTCGAGAGCGAAGCTTTTAGCCCGACGTTCGCGCACTTCGCCAAAACCAGAGGACCGATCATAATGATTGAATGTTGGCCCGGACATTCGCGGTTCAGACGCCTGCTTGCTCAGGTAACGCGGGCAGGAGAAATCAAGCTGCTTAGGCGCGCAGATACAATCTGCTCCGTTATCGTACACATCGCTGACATCGTAACAGGGTTCGGTTACAGAAATTTCTCCGCCGAGGCTGTTACTCTTCCCCTGTCTGGCCCAGCACCAATCACGCAAGCCCGCCTCTTCCGGATGTGCCTCGAAGCGCCCTCCATCTTGCGAGCGGGAACCTTCTTCTCGTTGTCGCGAGTTCGCGAGCGACACGGTGCATGGCGAGCCGAGTGAGCAGCCGAGAACACGGGAGCGCAATTCGCGGAAGTTGCGGGCTCGCGACGAAGTGCTCTCCGCATGCGACGGCGGCGAGGATGTGAGACGGACGGCAGTTTCTTCGAAACGGCTCTGATGATGCGGCGGCGGAACGGCGATCGGCAATTCACTCTGAGACCGTGCGTGGCGCTCATTGGTGCGGTGCTGGTGAACCGACACGTTGCGGAATTGCTCAGCTAGCCGCGCACATTGCGGAAATATCTCGTCGTAATTAATGTCCCACGGATTCAGAGGGGCTCTTGTCTCGGGTTCGTCTGCCGTTGCAGGGGACTCGATCTTAAGCGGACTCACGCGCCGCCTGAATGCATCAAGGGAGCTTTGCCGGTGAAGCGGTAGGCTGGCGGCGCGAGCTAGCGAGCCTAGTGGTGGAATGCCTGTGCGTTCGCAGTGAGCAGCAGCCATTGAGAAAACGGATTGAAGACCTAACACAAGTTGACGATCGAAGGTAATTGACAAAAACAGAATGATGCGAGAAGTGTGGTTGGAGCTAACAAAAATGACCACCATGTGAGATCGGAGCGAGCTTTGGTGGATTTTGTTGTGCTATGGAGCTTGGGTGGTGGTGGGCAGAACAATCTGTGCGTGCAACTCTTGGACCGAGCTGTAACGTATCATACCGTCTATCATCTCGAAAAGGCTTCTGTGATGCACAGTCCATCCATCATCCCCCTTTCTGTTCAAAACCGCAGATGCCCCACCATCGAGATCGTTCCTTTCCTTCACAACCGCATTCTCGACCCGACTCCGGGCAATTACCTCCGCGGTAACACTTATTGAGCTCGTTTGCACGGGAGATAAGCCACGTGTCCAAATCGTAACAAAGGTATCTTCTCATCGCCACCGTGGTAACCAACATTTCCGAAATGGTCAACATTATTGCCTGAATGGTAATGAACAGTGTTTCCGGGATTCCTGGCTGGTAACTTCGCGTTCGTACTAAACTGTACACCGTACAAGTAGGGTTTGACTCAGCCGAAACGAAACTGATTGTCCACATGTACTCCACAAAATGCGCATTTCGGGTTATAATACTGGCGTTTATAAATCCGCACGTTAAAAACTCCATATGCTAGCTCGAAATCTGATTAAAAACCGAATGCATTATTACCAAACAAACGCCACAAAAAATAACGAACTATGTCAAAACGCAAAACTATGATAGTGACAACTATTATGAAGCAGATTATTTTACTCAACAATACTTTTATTTAAGAATTTTCAGAGCTCGATCTAAATCAATATACAAAAATTACAATATTGATGTGAGATTTTCAGATTTTGCATAAAGACTATGAAATTTGTATAAAAAGACAAAAAAAATATTTTCCAAAGCATCAAATATTGCATGATATGCTTTGTTAAGAATGTCTATCTAAGTTTTTTTAATCTTGATTTTGTTGTCATAGTTGATTGTATCGCATACTTGCATGTAACGCTTTGCGTTTGTAAGCGTTCATGTGCATTCTGTGCTGTACCGTGACATTAGTTTCAGTTTTGCTGAGTCAAGCCCTACTTGTACGGTGTACAGCTTAGTTAGAACGCGAAGTTACCAGCCAGGAATTCCGGAAGCACTGTTCATTACCATTCAGGCAATAATGTTGACCATTTTGGAAATTTTGGTTACCACGGTGGCGATGAGAAGATACCTTTGTTACGATCTGGACACGTGGCTTACCTCCCGTGCAAACGAGCTCAATGAGTGTTACTGCGGTAGGAAATTGCCCCCCGACTCCCCCATCTCCAATCTCTCCCGCCTTGCACGCTTGCTTCTGTTCGCGCGGAATGGCAGTTTTTCGCGCTTGAGACAGGCAAGATGAGTTGAGCTTCCTGGGCAGATTCGGTTACAGGCAGTTTCTAGATTAGCTGACATGGAAGGGACTTTCGGCAACAGCAACATTCTGTTGCTGCTCTGAGTCATGTCCCTGTCATCACTATCGCACAATCGCTTCGTGGCAACGTGGCACGTGTAAGTACGTTCAGTGAGTGCTCAGCGGGCAACGTTATCGTTGCGAAACATCCGCGACAACACAAGGCGTGCGAAAGGCAACAGCTTTGAGCACTTTTTCTCGAGGAAATCGCGATTCAGGAGGATGTTCTTGCGTGTTGGCTCTCTTTGCTACAGTGTAGTGAATGAATTATAATAGATTTGTCGTAAGTGGAAACACCTCTGTACAGCGGATTTCTCTTTCTGACCGTTTAATTGAGACATTCTTGAGAAATTGTGACAGGTCGATGTTTTCTGTCCTTTTAGGCCGTACTGAGTACGACAATAACAGCAGCAGGACTGATGTAACACCCCACTGAAACAAGGCTTGTGGAAAATGATATTAATGCCATATATGTCCACGCTTTCAAATATTCCCCTGGTGTCCTTTGGAAACGTTAAGTCTTTATCTAGAAGCACGGTGTATCCATTACCCATTACCCACGGTGTAGGCAACCACGCAGGGGGCGTTGCCTTCCCATCAGGGCCTAAGTTATCAGGGCAATTACCCTGTTTTGACTGAAATTATAGGGTGTTTTTTCTAGGAGCCCTGATTTTCACAAGGTTTTTTCCGGACCAGCCCGTAAAACTGAAGGGTGATTTTTGAGTCAGCTCGGATCTCTCCGGGGAGTTCTCAAGGGGACCCGTATAATTTTAGCAGACATGTTCTCCCCGACCTGCCTTGCATTCCTCTCGGTCTCCCTCTAAACACACGTTGGGCCAATTTTAGTGAATTTCCTAACCACTCTCTCCTTGTTGGCCTCCATGTGTCTGATTGCCCCGTTCTACGTCGACATGGCTTAGAAGGCCAATAAGGAGAGAGTGTCTGATTGCCCTGTTCTCCCGATGTACTCTTCCTCATCGTATTTTTTTCTAAGTCTACAAAAAGTATCTCGCTCACCCCTCCAGAGCCACTCCATCTCCAATCTCCCCAGCCCTCGCGCAACCCACTGTGAGTTTCCCGCGAAATTCTGGTAATGCATGTTTTCAGGCCTTTTCTGGCTCGAACCCGGATTCGTCAAGGTTTTTTTCCCGCTGGCTCGGATTTTACAGGGTCTTTTTCACAGGGGCCCGGATCGTCCGAGCTAGCAAAAATCCTAGCAATAGCCCTGCTTCCCATGCCTCCCTCGTCAGCGAGTCAGCGAACCCAACTCCCTCGTTCGACTGGACAGCTGTACGTGTCCCTAGCGGAAACGACACGAGTGGAAGTTGGCGCAGTCTTGTCCAAGAAACAAGTCTTCATTCCTCACATGGGTGGCATGCGCGCGCAAGTCGACCCGATGACGGCCTCCTCGCATGCGATAGGTTCGAGCTGAGTGTGGCAGAACAGCAATAACTGCAGAAAGGGGCGGCTGTTGGCGGGAAAACAAATGCCCACAAACAATGACGTCAGTTTCCTGCCACCTGCGTGAGCAATCAAGACGCTATAAATACAAGCGATGTTGACATACTCTTTACTGGCTATGAAGCACACTAACAGTCTTCATTCTGTAATTTTCATTGTGAAATGACCTATCTATCAGCCTTTCCAGCAAAATGCTGGAACGCAAGCCTGTAGGGAGTCTAGACTTTCGTTTTTAAGTCAACTAGCCCAGGTTGGCTGGGCGGTGTAGAGTGGCGTCAAGTCTTCTCTCTTCATGAGGGGTGTCTTCTTTGCACTCCTGATACAAAACAAGTGCAACAAAAAGGGCCACCAAAACAAGGAATGAGTCATTCACATTATATGTCATTTGCAAGAGGGCCTAAAAAACCCACAAATCACTTGAACCATCCCACTTCACATCATATGTCCGTGACAACACATACCAATAAACCTCATACCGCATCACCCAAACATGCATGGGAACTCACCCGGGGGTGTGCATGTAGTTGCATATCAGGAGCTCCTGAAAAGGAGGGCACAGGGAAGAGGGCAAAACATAGAAGGTTGTTCATAACTCCAAGGCAGATAATGATACTACCTTCTTCCATTCCTCCACTTTCACCGCTAACCATCCCCACACCAGCACACCACCCAATTCACCACCCTTCTCTGCCCATCTCTCCGCTCTTCGCCTCTGTCCCCTTCCCTCCCCTCACTCCCCTACCACCCCACCCTGCCCCGCCTTGCTCTTTCCAGCGTGCCCCATCCTCGTTACAATCACGATACTTTAGGCGCCTCAGACATAGACCCCCCCCTCACACATACCTGCTCAGCCAAACGCTCTCTGCATGCTTCCAGCTCTTCCCTTAGAGCAGCCATCTCGTTACTATCTCCTCCAATACAATCACCACCCGCTGCAGCAGAGGCTTCTTGCTGCTGCGCTGCTCTCTCAACAAGATCCTGAGGGGAACGGTGAGGTGGACGCGTGATGACAAATGTGAGGGGGAACGGTGAGGTGGGCGGATGATGATACATACAGAGCGGCAGAAGGTAGTGGACACAGCCTTAGTGTAAGGATGGGCAATGTTAATGGGGAGGTCTTCATGAGGCAATCTTAATAGGGCAAGGCTACATGGGGCAATGATCGGGATCACAGCAAACAACTCATCACATCTTACATCGTAACGGGGCACTCAATAGACGATACATACTCGCATGGTGGTCAGAATGCATTGGTTTAGGTCCATGATGTGTGGACATGCCATGTTGGGCGGAACGAGCTGTGACAGGTGTGCGATGCAGGTGACATGACATGACAGCTGGGGAGTGCGATGCATGGGAACACGTACTCGCATGGTGGTCAGAATGCGTTGGTGTAGGTCCATGATGTGTGGGCACGCCATGTTGGGTGGCAGGGCGTACACGTCCTGGTGGGGGAGAGATGGGGGGGGCAGACAAGGAGAAAGGGAGTACGGCATAATTTTGAGTTGCCTAAAACACGATGTGAGGGCACGCCATGTCGGCTGGTAACATGTACACGTCCTTTAAGGTGCCTCGAAAGTCGCCACGGTGGTTGGGAGCACGTACACGTCCTGGTGGCCGGGAAGACAAGGAGCTGGGAGAGGCAAAGGTCGAGGAACTGAAAGAAATGGCAGAAAAAGTAGAAAGAACGACGCGAATAAAGAGGGTGGTAAAATCTCAAAGGGTCGTGAAACTTGAGCTGACAGAGAGCACTCACCATGTTCTCCTCTTCCTCCCCTTCCACCTCCTCCTCCCTCTCGGAACCACTCTCACTCCCTCTATCCTCCTCCTTCTCGTCCCTTCTGCTTCCCCCCTCCTCGGCACCCTTCTCATGCCCCCTTTCCTTCTGCTGCCCTTCTCCTACTGATGAGGGCAGGCCTTTGCTGTACTCGCTAGTGAGTGATTGGAGGTCCGTCTGAATACACAGATCCATAAAAACATTTTGCAACGAGAGGGGTGGCAGGAACAAGGGCACGTGAATGCGAGGCATGATCCTTGCAACCAAGCAGTGGGTTTGCAAAAACAATACAATAAATAACAGCCACAAAGGAGAAATATTGATGGGTCTATTAAATCACTAGCACATATTGCGCATTTGATTCAGTGTACCTGCATGGAGCGAATGACTGCCATGAGCTGCTTGCTGTCCTCCCCCACGGCCCTCAGCTGCCTCTCATGTGCCTCCAACTGTTACCAGTGAGATCAAAGAAGGGAGAGACAACAAGAAGTCAGAGGGGTATGAGCAACACGTGAAGACCCGCAGCCTCCGTTCATGCCTGCTGTACTCACAAATGAGTGATTGAATGATTTCACAGAGTGAGTTTCACCAAGAAGATACTTAGCAGAGTGACGACCACGCAACACATACAACAGCGACGCTTACGATCGTGACAATGAAACAAATTGATGCTCACCATGCGCTTGTAGAAGTCGCTATCTGACTTCTTCCCGCCCCATGTGGCTCTCTGCCTGCCCTCCGACTGCAACACACACAGAGCACAGGGTGGTGCAGGGGAACAAAGGTGAGATACGCATTTCTTGGGATGGGAGGGGCAAGGTTGGGTGGAAGAGATGCTGCCTGGTGGGGGTCCGCTTTGCCTCCAACGCACAACTCTAGCCTCTCTCACAACAGCACAGCACAACACTTCCGCACCGCAGTGCACCGCACTGTACCTGCGGATTGAGGTTGACTATGTCCACGCCCGGCTGTCTAGCGGGCGTGCGCTTGCCCCCCACGCACGACGCCAGCTTCTCCTGCAGCTTCACAAATTCGCGCTTCTCCTTACGCAACTCAAAGGCCTGCTGCGCCTTCACTTGCTGCAGAGGGCGCGGATAGCAGCGAGGCGTGGGGGGAAGGGGGGGAGAGGGGGAGGAGACGGATACGGTGTGAGAGGCACAGACCAGCAACGGCGCCATTTTCTCCTTGCGCAGCTAAAAACGCCTGCTGCGCCTTCACTGGAGTGGATGGTAATGGGGGTTGCTGAGTTGCCACGGCTGTTGACTAACCTGCACGGCATGATGACTCACCTGCACGGCTTGCTGACTCACCTGCACGGCTTGCTGACTCACCTGCAGCGCGATGACATGCTTGCTGAGCTCGTCCCTCTCTGCTTTAAGCTTCCTGATCTGCGCCTTGAACTCCGCCGCAGCTTTTTGCTCCTGAAGAGTCCAACCACAGGGCACACAGAGAGGCAATAAGAGATGAGACGAGAGTCGGTTGGGAAGGCCCTTTTTGAGGCGCCTCAAAATGCTTGCTGAGCTCGTCCCTCTCTGCTTTATGCTTCTTCGTCTGCGCATTGAACTCCACTGCCGCCTTTTGCTCCTGCAGAGTCGATTCGTTTCACAAGACACGCAGAAAGACAACAAGAGATAAGGTGAGACGAGACGAGATGGGGAAATAAGATTACATGATAGGGGATGCTGAAAACCGGTCTTGTGGTAGGATAGCCGATGATAACGGCTGTGCTTATTCAACACTTTCCTGCACCCATTTCTATCCGTTCCCACTCATAAACCCGCCTCCCCTCCCCCGATCTCTTCAAGGGACCCGACCCACACCCCCACCTGTGCAGTGAGCGACTGGATTTTTCGCCTTGCGACTTCCAGCTCGTCCTCTAGCCGATCCGAGCGACTCTCCGCCGTCGCCAGGTCGCACATCAGCCGGTGTCGCTGGGTCGCCAGGTCGTCGCGCTGCTTCGCATCCGCCTGCCGCTGCTGCACCAGCTGATAAATGCAGTCGCACGCCGTCGCCATTGACGCCTGCGATGGTTTGTGCGACAAGCCATGACACGAAGCAAGTCCTGGTCATTGGACAATCGGCTGACGGTCTTGAAATCACTTGAAAAGAATCACGCCAATCTATGAGCTCAGACGATTGGAAATTAAGCATTAACCTGCGAAGCATTACTTATTAGTTATTACATGATACAACACGAGCTATTAAAACTATATCTCGAGTGAGCTACTCACCGCTTCATCGGACCGAAGTGCGAGGGTCGGTGGAAGGCCGAGCAGTACCAGTGACTCGTTCAGGTACGCGATACAGTGGTCAAGGTTTTGCGTGTTAGCGAATCCGTCACCCAGTTGTAGCGCATGTTCATCCTCCATCGTTCCTCGACGAGAGCTCAATATTCTACCGCGGGGATCCCTTATATAATAAATAAGTTGATAAATATAATGACGGTGACCGTTTATTGCTCCGCAGTAGTTAACGGCGAAAGCGGAAACGGATTGGTGTCCAATAGTCTCGGCTAATATCTAAGGTCGTATGGAATATTCCAGCTCTCGGAAGTGAATGCCGCTTTTAGTTTGAGGCAACGTAAAGAAAGCGACGGAAACTCCAAAGCCGGAATGACTAATACGGTAAGCGGCGGTGAAACCGGCGAGTTTGCGATAACTTCTAGGCGATGAACTGAGGGTGAAACTGTCTGTACTTTCTAGGTGGTAATTTCATTGAGACGGTAATTTCATCCAGACATGCCTCATGCCTTTGGTTTGACTTTCTCGCATCTTCGAAGTGGTGGCAGGTGAGGAGTTCGAATCGCGTGTCAGACGGCGGGGAAAGATTGTGTCAGATTGGAAGAAGGGGGTGTTTGGTGCGGTCCGTCTTGGGTCAGATGCTACGGTTTCGGTAGGTGTATAAATGTTACAAAACGGTTCTCAAGAACGAAATGCACTTCGGAGAAGCTTATACAATTGATGCTCACCCCATGCACGCGAATTTGCCTTGCGCCGGATGGATACGCTGCACCCGAGGTTGTTTCCCCAGCCTTATGCACCTACATTACAAGCGCGTCAAGCAGAAGAGACCGAAGTCAAGCAGAAGAGACTGAAGTCAAACTAGGTAACTAGGTAGCAGAGTCTTGTTTATAAGCACATGCGAATTCTTTTTAGCTAGCTGCGAATTGACGAAACTTATGCGAAATGCTCGTGACAGCTTATACGCCCCCTTCATAAGGCAACCGGGAGGGGCTCAAACAGGCATCAATTGTAGAAAGTCTACATCATTAGTTAGGTTGATTTTTCCGTACGCTTTGAAAAGAACAGCCATAACCGCTCGGGTGTGTAACCCGCTTCGTCCAGTCGCCTATTCTTCGCCACACGCATTCAAGCCAAACAGCAAAAATCGCCACATCCCCCCAATTCCCTCTACACTCCAAACCAAGCCAAGTTAGGGCGTGGGCAGCGCGTTCATTTTCTCCACTTTTCCAAAATTTTGACGCCCGTCGAATCAGGAAAATACTGTAGCATTTTTGCACCGCGCTTAGTTTGTGTCCCAGGTGGGACACGCGCGTCCAGAATTAGGCACAGGTCCCGCCACACTTTTGCCCAACCGCCCACCCAATGAGGTAACCCTGTGCTAGTGGATCTGGTGACGGGGCGCAGTACGAAGCTGTATTTGTGAACCCATGAATTTGCGAGGGTCGTACGCGCTTGACGAACTCGTGGTGCGGTTTCGCTGACCTGCACACAGGCATTCTCGAATGATGCGCGTGTTGTTCGCGGCCGTCGTGGGAACGTGTTCTGTTCGGTTGACGGCACGGAAAACAGCCACCGTTCATCCACTGTATACTCCATCGTGTCCACTCGTTACTCTAAATCAGGGTTACAAACCGCTGAATCTGGTAACTGTTTCGGGCTAAGCCAAGAAAATGAACGCGCTGCCCCCGCCCTTATCACAATCCCCACCTCCCCCTACGCAGATTTCGCATTTGTCTTCCCCATTCTGTCACAAACTTTGGCAGATGTTCCGAATTCCGCTCTGCACTCCTCGCCCCCCGATACCTCGAGTCGCTGCATGCCGATTCTGCCTGTCCACGTGTCTCGCGGAGGCAAAACTGGGAGACAAAAATCACCGAGCACGAAAAGCAACTTACTTCGGCATTTTGCTGACATCCTTCCGTGCCTCGTGTCTACCTGACCTCGCTCGTGCTAACGCTGGTCGCATTTATCTTGCTAGTTATACGCGCGGCCCCATTCGGTGCGCGGAAGGAGCAGGAGCGGTAAATGCTGTCTATCGCGGTTTCTGCTAGGGGATTTCCGTCTCTCGCACGCCCATGTCGTCGCGCCCCGCCCCTCGCGCGCCGATGTAGTGTCACAACCTCTTCCCCACGTAGTGCTGCCGCTTCCGCTTATTCCGCTTATTCCGCTTCTTCCGCTTCTTCCGCCTACACCGCCGTTTCTCGCTGCGCCGCTCGTTTCTCCCCGTTTTCCTCCGCGCGTTTCTTGTCGTTTGAAACTCTCGCACAGGCATCGCCGCAAGCGGAGAAAACATCCCCGTTAGTAACAGTCATGAGTTACCAGCAGCACCGCCGGCAGCATCACAGCGGCCGGCAAGACGAAACAAGAGGCCGGCAGATCCACCAGGAAACCGTTCGCGCTGCCGCCTTCCCCGTGTCTGTGGCTGACGGCCGTCGTTTCCACAACCTGCTAGCCGACTATGACCCCTCTCAGGCTGCTGTAGCACAAGTGGAGCAAAGGGCCCGGGAATTAGGGGTCCCATCAGGAGGAGTTACTGTAACGGGGGAAGGAGGCGTGAACGTGACGGGGAAAACAGGAGTGACTGTGACGGAAGAAGGGCACGGGGAAAGGAGCGGAGTGGGTTCATCACTGCCAGGTGTCGGGCCATCATTGGGTGCTCCGTCTGAGGAGGAGTTTCTTCGAGCAGGCTTGGAGCTTAAAGATCAGGTGGGGTGATGGCCATGGGGATCAGGTGGGGTTCTTTTCCCCAACAATCCTCCCCCTTTCCTCACCCCCCCCCCTCCTACTTTCCCCCTCGAAACTCCCCTCCTCATCCCCCCCCTCTCCCTCTTCCGATCTGCAAAAGCATTTCCCTTTCCCATTGGATTCGCACCTTCTCCGCTCCAAATCAATTTGCATTTGCCAACGTGGGAATAAGGATCTCTTCTCCTCACTATCTCGGGCAGCTGGGACAACCGTTGGTGTCTTCAACGTGGCTAGCTTGTCTCGTCCCCCCCCCCCCTCCCCTCTCCCCCCACTCTTTCCCTCTCCCCCCACTCTTTCCCTCTCCCCCACTCTTTCCCCCTCTCCCCACTCTCTCCCTCTCTCCCAACTCTTTCCCTCACTCCCAACTCTTTCCCTCACTCCCCACTCTTTCCCTCTCTCTCCACTCTTTCCCTCTCTCCCCACTCTTTCCCTCTCTCCTCACTCCTCCCCTTCTCCTCTCCCTCTCCCTTCCCTCCCACTTCTCCGTGTCTCCTCCATCTTCCCCCTCCTCCCCACCCACTACTCCGCCTCACCCACGTGGAGGAGCGGACCACCAGCTCACAGGGTGCGGGACCCATTCTTCTGTGCTGCTCAGCCTGCTGCGCGTTTCCCCCCATTTGCCTTGCACACTCAGATTGTGGCAGCCACATGGACGAACGGAGCTCCAACTCTAAGGGTGCGGGACCCATTTCTCTACGTGGGTCTGCTGGGGACAGCGTGGGTGTTCCTGACAGGCTGCCTCTTATCCGCCTCCCCCTTCTCTCCTCTCCCCTTCCCCTTCTGCCCCAAGACAGGTTGTTGTAGCCAAATGGCCCAACGAAGTGCCTGCTTGCAGGGTGCGGAATCCCTTTCTCTATGCTGCTCAGTTTGCTGCTTGTTCTCCCCCCTCCTGCTTTGCCTTGCACACTCAGATTGTGGCAGCCACATGGACGAACGGAGCCTCTGCTCGAAGGGTGCGGGACCCATTTCTCTACGTGGGTCTGCTGGGGACAGCGTGGGTGTGCTTCAGGGCCTATCAGGCCACAGGAGACGTTGCTGACCTGGCACTTGCTGCTGACATCATCCGGGCTGCTGCTGACATGGCAGAACGCCATCGAACGTGGGTACTTTGCTGGCTTCTGTCTGTGCCTGTCCTTGTTTTGTCAGTTCTTCCTGGCAGCTCTCCTTCTCCATCACTCCCCATCACTCCCCCATCACTCCCCCATCACTCCCTCCTAATCGTTCTCCCATCACTTGCCCCTTTCTCCATCGTGGCCCAACAGGCATTACACCTTCTACTGTGGGCAACCAGGAATCCTCGCCTTGGGAGCTGTCGTTCACCATCATCTCATGCAACGCTCCCCACAGCAGAAGCAGCAGCAGCAGCACGAAGAGCTAGACTCCAATCCCTACCTCCGCTCCTTCCTCTCGCTCCTCACCTCCGCGCTCCCCTCGCTCTCCCTCCTCCCCTCATCCCCCACCGACACTGCACCAGCCACCATCCCCCACGAGCTGCTATACGGACGAGCAGGCATGCTCTGGGCCTTCCTGTTCCTCCGTCGGAACCTTCCTGTGGAGATGCGCAGGAAGCTTCTTCCTCTCTCGCTCGCCCGTCCCATTGCTGCTGCCATCGTGGATGCTGGGCTGTCTCTGGCATCGACATATGGTCATGGTAAGCAGAGCGACAAGCATGCAAGACAGGACTGCAGGGATGACACTGTCGCCGACACCGCACCAGCCACCATCCCGCACGAGCTGCTATACGGACGAGCAGGCATGCTCTGGGCCTTCCTCTTCCTACGTAGGAACCTTCCTGTGGAGATGCGCAGGAAGCTTCTTCCTCTATCTCTCGCCCGTCCCATTGCTGCCGCCATCGTGGATGCTGGGCTGTCCCTAACGTCGACGTATGCTCATGGTAAGCAGAGCGACAAGCATGCAAGGTAGGACTGCAGGGATGACACTGTCGCCGACACTGCACCAGCCACCATCCCCCACCAGCTACTCTACGGACGGGCCGGCATGCTCTGGGCCTTCCTGTTCCTCCGTAGGAACCTTCCCGTGGAGATGCGCAGGAAGCTTCTTCCTCTATCTCTCGCCCGTCCCATTGCTGCTGCCGTCGTGGATGCTGGGCTGTCTCTGGCATCGACGTATGATCATGGTAAGCAGAGCGACAAGCATGCAAGGTAGGACTGCAGGGATGACACTGTCGCCGGCACTGCACCAGCCACCATATCCCACGAGCTGCTGTACGGACGAGCAGGCATGCTCTGGGCCTTCCTGTTCCTCCGTAGGAACCTTCCTGTGGAGATGCGCAGGAAGCTTCTTCCTCTATCTCTCGCTCGCCCCATCGCTGCTGCTATTGTGGATGCTGGGCTGTCCCTTGCGTCGACGTATGCTCATGGTAAGCAAGAAGACAGGAAGGCATGGTGGAACTGCTGAGACAGGGTGCAACTGCTAAACCATTGAGATGCGTCAGAAGCGATAGTGGATGCTGTGCGTGCGTGCGGGCTGACTTATGCCCACGGTAAGCACAACGACAGGGGCAGGCAAAATCAGACTGCTGCAGAATGTACGAGTGGTACGGCACTCGGTACCTGGGAGCAGCACACGGCGTGAGAGAGACTCGTTCTTGTTGCATACATCCATGCTCTCCTGCCTCCTGTTCCCAATGTTCAATACAGATGGCAGTCCTCTCCCGCCCCTCATGTATGAGTGGTACGGCACCCGTTACCTGGGGGCAGCACACGGCGTAGCAGGGATATCCCACGTGCTGCTGCTGCTGCGGAGAGAAGAACTGGAGGAGGAGGAGGAGGAGGAGGAGGAGGAGGAGGAGGAGGAGGAGGAGGAGGAGGAGGAGGAGGAGGAGGAGGAGGAGGAGGAGGAGGAGGAGGAGGAGGAGGTGGAGGAGAGGAGTGAGGAGAGGGGTGCAACGGCAGGCGTTGGGGAAGCAGCAGTGGGAGGAGGCCGTGCGAGGGACAGGAGAGACAGGACATTGGAGGAGGCGGCAGAAGCAGCAGGAGCAGCGCTCGAGTACCTCGTAGCCACTCGCCTGCCTTCGGGGAACTATGCTGCGAGCGATGAGGAGAGTCGAGCAGCTGCTGCCGCACTCAGGAAAGCACGTACACGAGAAAGCAGTAGCGCTGCTGCTACTGCTGCTGGGGGTGGGAGCACGGGTGTCGGGGAGGGGGAGATAAGGGAGGTGGATCGGTTGGTGCACTGGTGTCATGGCGCCCCTGGTGTGGCTCCAGCTCTCGCCCTTGCTGCCATGGTGAGACACTCATGCTTCTGAAGTAATTATTCCTCGATCTGTTGGCACGCAATCCTTTTCCTTAGACATGAGCCACTCAATTCCACTGCTCGTCCTTTCCTTTACCCTTTCTCCTCTGTCCTTGCTCCAGCTGTTTCCATCCAAGCCCCAGTTGCTGCAAGCAGCCATCGAGGCTGGGGACGTGGTTTGGCACCGAGGCTTGCTGCGCAGGATTGGCCTCTGCCACGGTATCAGTGGCAACGCCTACACCTTCCTAGCTCTCCACCGAGCCACAACCGCAGGCTCGGCAACCGTCTCTGCCCCAGGCTTGGGATCAGCAGCTGCTGAGGGCGCTGGAACTTCTATGGCTGCCACGTCAGTGTTGCCTGGAGCGGCGACAGCAGGAGACACTGCCACGTCAGCACTGGTGACACGTCACCTGCACAGAGCACGTGCGTTTGCTGGCTTTCTGCATGCCAACTGGCGCCAGCTGGCGGAGGCAGGCACGCTGCACTGTGGGGACCACCCGTTCTCCCTTATGGAAGGTCTGGGCGGCCCTACTTGTCTGTTTCTGGACATGAGCCGGCCGAACGAAGCAAGGTTTCCAGGGTATGAGTTGTAGAGCTGGCTTGGATATCGTGTTTGTTGGACCTGCGTAGGATGTGGTGCAGAGAGGGAGGAGAGAGTGGGAGGTTTTTTTAAGGACTGATGCTCTGCCTTGCACGAGCCAAAGATAATACCAGTGTAGATATTGACAAGCAGCAGGTAGCAGTTAAATCACGATGCCGTGGATGTTAAAAAGTTGGATGTACCATGCATATTACAATCGGATGCGGTCAGGTTTGAGGTCAGTAGCCCAGCCATAGCTCGGCTATAAGGTCAGTGGCTTGACCATAGCTCGCAGAGCAGTGCATACATGCAGAGGCTGAGATCCAATCCAGCAGGTGGAGACTTACCAGAGTAAGGTGCGGCCAGCACAGTGCTCCTCCCTCCCGTCTCCCTTTCCCTCCCTCCGTCTGCATTTGGGAAGTTGAGAAGATGGAAATTTGGGAAATTTGCATGCACTCCGTCCATCTGCATTTGGGAAATTTACATGGGCAAAGTACTGGGTCTAGGAGAGAAGGCACGCAAGAAATGAGCCTGGCACGAGGACCGAGACCATAGCAAGTGACAGACATAGCATGTCAAAAAGCACAGTGCTGCAGGAAACAACTAAACACACAGAATGAGAAAAGGCAGTCATGGAAATGGAAAGCAGAAAGGACGTGAAGACAAGCGAAGGTGGAACAAGTTGAGCAAGGGGGAGGGCCAGAATCTTGAGCGACATAGATAAGCGGGAGAAGAAGCGATGAGCAGCAAGCAGGGAGACTTACGTTACCCTTGCATATAGTCCCTCTTCTCACCTCTTCTCAGTCAACGCTGTTGTTGCACTGACGATCATTCCAAGGTGTCATGCCGGTGCTGTAAGAGGAGCAGAAGAGGAGGGCAGCAGAAGAGAGGAGGGGAGCAGAAGAGAGGAGGGGAGCAGAAGAGAGGAGGGAAGCATGGGAGAAAATTGAAGTTGTTTATTGTTGTTAATAAAAGCAGAAGAATGTATGAAAGGAGAGACGACTTTTCACAGCATGTCTTGAAGAGGGACGAACGGGCATGGACGGAAGACGAGGAGTGCAGGAGGAAGAGGCTTGATGAATGTCACCGTGAGAAGAAGAGAGGTCAATCGCTTTGTCCCTTTCTTCTATTCCCTTTGAACGCCACTCCTATGTTGACCACACCCGTCAGAGAGGAACCAGAGGAACCAGAATATCAAAACAACAAAATAACAAGAAGAAAGGCCAAGAAAAGTTTCGAAGGGACCCCAAAAACAGAACGCGGGAGTCGGAAGGGCAAACGAAACTGAATGGGACAAACGGGACGAATGGGACAGCTGGCAAAGAAAGTAGGTCAGAAAGTCACCGAGTAGGACTAATTTGTACCTTTTCTATGCCGCTCCCATTCTGCAGCCGATCAGTTGATTTTGTACAGCTGCTGCTGCACCTCCGCTGCTGCACACCAGCAGCAGGGCCAGAGCCCTCCATGGACCGTGCATTCCAATACGTGCAGTCTGCAGCAACACCACAGCACTCCGCTCATCCTTCGGCCGTGTCTGCGGCCTTCGGATGCCAATGCTCTCTTGAGTTGCATCTCCTTCTGCCTCGCCTTGAAAACGCCGTCTTTGTGGACAGCGTCAGTCAAAACCGCCTGGATAAATCCTCGTCAGCAAAGGAGAGGATTCGGAAGAGAAGGCAGTTATCAAGAAGCACAGGGGACTCAAGAAGGCAGCGAAAACAAGAACGATGAGTAGAGGAAACGAAAGTTGAAGATGAAAAGCACGGCACTGTGATGCTGTGAAAAGGGAGGCGATGGTAGCACGCGGTGACGGAAGAATGCGGTACAAAAGTGGGCAATGATAAACACGAAGCAGAAGCGGTAAGGATGGCAAGGGCGAAGGGAGAGGGAACTTAGCCGTATGGGGGTGCTTGCAGGACAGTGGCGTCAGGCTTCCAGGAGGCTCGCACACCGCTGTGACTGCCTGCCGTGCGTCATCCCACCGCCCTCCCTCCCCGCACCACGCTGCCATAGCACCAGACGAGATGGGAAGGAGAGCAAGAAAACAGAGCAGGGGAAAGGAACCCAAGTAGTCAGTAGAAGCATGAAAGTAGTGAAATGCATGCAAGGAGGCAGAGATAACAAGAACGATGAGCAGAGGGAACGAAAGTAAAATATAAAAAGCACGTGGCACTGTGACGCTGTGAAAGGGGAGGCGATGGTAGCACACAGCACTAGGGCGCCGAGCTAGCAGGCAAATTTGGAAGGGACGCAGCATGGGTATGAATGCATTCTACTCTAACCCCCTACGACTCTAGTATGAGCTCAAGCCGCCCCAGTGCCATGCGCTACCATCGCCAAACGCCGCTCATCTCTCACTCAACTTTTGATCGCTCCCATTCGAAAATGGGCTCATTTGTTTTGAGCACACGGTGACGGAAGAATGCAGTGCGAAAGTGGGCAATGATAAACACGAAGCAGAAGCGGTAAGGATGGCAAGGGCGAAGGGAGAGGGAACTTAGCCGTATGGGGGTGCTTGCAGGACAGTGGCGTCAGGCTTCCAGGAGGCTCGCACACCGCTGTGACTGCCTGCCGTGCGTCATCCCACCGCCCTCCCTCCCCGCACCACGCTGCCATAGCACCAGACGAGATGGGAAGGAGAGCAAGAAAACAGAGCAGGGGAAAGGAACCCAAGTAGTCAGTAGAAGCATGAAAGTAGTGAAATGCATGCAAGGAGGCAGAGATAACAAGAACGATGAGTAGAGGAAACGAAAGTTGAAGATAAAAAGCACGTGGCACTGTGACGCTGTGAAAGGGGAGGCGATGGTAGCACACAGCACTAGGGCGCCGAGCTAGCAGGCAAATTAGGAAGGGACGCAGCATGATTATGAACGCATTCTAATCTAGCCCCCTACGACTCTAGTATGAGCTCAAGCCGCCCCAGTGCCATGCGCTACCATCGCCAAACGCCGCTCATCTCTCACTCAACTTTTGATCGCTCCCATTCGAAAATGGAGTCATTTGTTTCGAGCACGCGGTGACGGAAAAATGCAGTACAAAAGTGGGCAATGATAAACACGAAGCATTAGCGGTAAGGATGGCAAGGGCGAAGGGAGAGGGAACTTAGCCGTATGGGGGTGCTTGCAGGACAGTGGCGTCAGGCTTCCAGGAGGCTCGCACACCGCATTGACTGCCTGCCGTGCGTCATCCCACCGCCCTCCCTCCCCGCACCACGCTGCCATAGCACCAGACGAGATGGGAAGGAGAGCAAGAAAACAGAGCAGGGGAAAGGAACCCAAGTAGTCAGTAGAAGCATGAAAGTAGTGAAATGCATGCAAGGAGGCAGAGATAACATGAACGATGAGCAGAGGGAACGAAAGTAAAAGATAAAAAGCACGTGGCACTGTGACGCTGTGAAAGGGGAGGCGATGGTAGCACACAGCACTAGGGCACCGAGCTAGCAGGCAAATTTGGAAGGGACGCAGCATGGGTATGAATGCATTCTACTCTAACCCCCTACGACTCTAGTATGAGCTCAAGCCGCCCCAGTGCCATGCGCTACCATCGCCAAACGCCGCTCATCTCTCACTCAACTTTTGATCGCTCCCATTCGAAAATGGGCTCATTTGTTTTGAGCACACGGTGACGGAAGAATGCAGTGCGAAAGTGGGCAATGATAAACACGAAGCAGAAGCGGTAAGGATGGCAAGGGCGAAGGGAGAGGGAACTTAGCCGTATGGGGGTGCTTGCAGGACAGTGGCGTCAGGCTTCCAGGAGGCTCGCACACCGCTGTGACTGCCTGCCGTGCGTCATCCCACCGCCCTCCCTCCCCGCACCACGCTGCCATAGCACCAGACGAGATGGACAGGAGAGCAAGAAAACAGAGCAGGGGATAGAAACCCAAGTAGTCAGTAGAAGCATGAAAGTAGTGAAATGCATGCAAGGAGGCAGAGGTAACAATACGATGAGTAGAGGAAACGAAAGTTGAAGTTGAAAAGCACGTGGCACTGTGACGCTGTGAAAGGGGAGGCGATGGTAGCACACAGCACTAGGGCGCCGAGCTAGCAGGCAAATTAGGAAGGGACGCAGCATGATTATGAACGCATTCTAATCTAGCCCTCTACGACTCTAGTATGAGCTCAAGCCGCCCCAGTGCCATGCGCTACCATCGCCAAACGCCGCTCATCTCTCACTCAACTTTTGATCGCTCCCATTCGAAAATGGAGTCATTTGTTTCGAGCACGCGGTGACGGAAAAATGCAGTACAAAAGTGGGCAATGATAAACACGAAGCATTAGCGGTAAGGATGGCAAGGGCGAAGGGAGAGGGAACTTAGCCGTATGGGGGTGCTTGCAGGACAGTGGCGTCAGGCTTCCAGGAGGCTCGCACACCGCATTGACTGCCTGCCGTGCGTCATCCCACCGCCCTCCCTCCCCGCACCACGCTGCCATAGCACCAGACGAGATGGGAAGGAGAGCAAGAAAACAGAGCAGGGGAAAGGAACCCAAGTAGTCAGTAGAAGCATGAAAGTAGTGAAATGCATGCAAGGAGGCAGAGATAACAAGAACGATGAGCAGAGGGAACGAAAGTAAAAGATAAAAAGCACGTGGCACTGTGACGCTGTGAAAGGGGAGGCGATGGTAGCACACAGCACTAGGGCACCGAGCTAGCAGGCAAATTTGGAAGGGACGCAGCATGGGTATGAATGCATTCTACTCTAACCCCCTACGACTCTAGTATGAGCTCAAGCCGCCCCAGTGCCATGCGCTACCATCGCCAAACGCCGCTCATCTCTCACTCAACTTTTGATCGCTCCCATTCGAAAATGGGCTCATTTGTTTTGAGCACACGGTGACGGAAGAATGCAGTGCGAAAGTGGGCAATGATAAACACGAAGCAGAAGCGGTAAGGATGGCAAGGGCGAAGGGAGAGGGAACTTAGCCGTATGGGGGTGCTTGCAGGACAGTGGCGTCAGGCTTCCAGGAGGCTCGCACACCGCTGTGACTGCCTGCCGTGCGTCATCCCACCGCCCTCCCTCCCCGCACCACGCTGCCATAGCACCAGACGAGATGGGAAGGAGAGCAAGAAAACAGAGCAGGGGAAAGGAACCCAAGTAGTCAGTAGAAGCATGAAAGTAGTGAAATGCATGCAAGGAGGCAGAGATAACAAGAACGATGAGTAGAGGAAACGAAAGTTGAAGATAAAAAGCACGTGGCACTGTGACGCTGTGAAAGGGGAGGCGATGGTAGCACACAGCACTGGGGCGCCGAGCTAGCAGGCAATTTTGGAATGGACGCAGCATGGGTATGAATGCATTCTACTCTAACCCCCTACGACTCTAGTATGAGCTCAAGCCGCCCCAGTGCCATGCGCTACCATCGCCAAACGCCGCTCATCTCTCACTCAACTTTTGATCGCTCCCATTCGAAAATGGGCTCATTTGTTTCGAGCACGCGGTGACGGAAGAATGCGGTACAAAAGTGGGCAATGATAAACACGAAGCAGAAGCGGTAAGGATGGCAAGGGCGAAGGGAGAGGGAACTTAGCCGTATGGGGGTGCTTGCAGGACAGTGGGGTCCGGCTTCCAGGAGGCTTCTATATTTTTGTGACTGCCTGCCGTGCGTCATCCCACCGCCCTCCCTCCCCACACCAGCGCGAAAACAGCAAGCAGCAGCGGCCCATGCAGCTCGTCTCCATCAGACGAACATGGCGTGCAAATGGTTGGCTGCTATCTTGTGCATACACCACGCCGCAAACAGAACGCCTCACTCTCTAAGTCGCACCCAGAGTGCACTCCCCCTGTTGTGAGGGCGAGGCGCTGCTGCTCTTGGGGGCTGCGAGAGAGAGGCGCCCCTGTTCTGGGGGGCTGTGAGGGCGAGAAGACAAGGAGAAGACATAACAATATCATGGCATGCCATGTACCATAGCAAGCCAGACACAGTGAGTGCAGCTCAAAGAGCCACCAGGCACAGCAGAGCAGACAGAACGCAGCAGACAGACCAGGCAGCAGCAGCAATAGACAGAGCAAAGAGCCAAGAGAGGGTGAGTGCAGTGAAACGGAGGAGCAAAGGGGAATGAGACGGGTGCAGTCAAAGCAGAGGAGCGAATGAGAGAGCGGGTGCAGTGAAAGGGATGCATATCGTACCACAATGTGATGGCACAGGCGTGGGCTTTGGGGAGTTGTGTTGACTGCCTTGCTGCTGCTGCAGCCACCGCTGTGAGTGCCTGGCTTCCATCATCCCACTGCCGCCCCTCCATGCGCCTCCTCCCTCCACTGCCTCTCCTTGAAACAGCAAGGCCGGTGCAGCATATAGAGGCACCACGCCTCTGCACTGCAGCACAGGGAGCCACACACAGTGAGTGCAAGCACGAGGAGCCACACACGGCTCTGCTGTTCTGCCACAAAGCCAGATGCCAAGGAAAGAGAATGCCCCTCAGGCAGAGGGCAGGCAATGAACTCGGATTGAATGAAGCAGCAAGCATGACAAGGAATGGGAAAGCATTGGAAGCAGCAACTCAGATTCGGGCAGAAAGCAGGTCAAGGTGGGCAGTAGAGCAGTGGAGAGCATTGGGGAACATGCAATGTAATGGAGGAGTGAAGGAGAGAGCGGGGTGCAGTGAAAGTGATGCATAGCATACCATAAGGGCAGCGATGGCATGGGAGTGGGTTTCGAGGACTGGCATTAACTGGCGTTGACTGGCGTTGACTGCCATGCTGCGGCAGCCAGCGCTGTACGGGCTCTGCCCCCTGCACTCTGTTCGCCTTGAGGCCAGAGGGGTAGACGGCAGAGGGAGAAGGAGATGCAAAGGAAGAGGATGGGCCTCGGAACTTGAAATGATGGGAGCAGCAAGAACGTCAAGGTGGCAATAGAGCACAAGCAGTGACGAGCGAGCATTGAGAATCTTCAAAATGGAGCACAGCGAACAAGGAGTGGTTGAATCGTGGTGGGAGGGGGGAACGGGGAAGGCGCATGGCGGCAGTGGCCCACAGCACTAGAGCAGCGAGCTGAGCCAGCAAGGGGGGACTGGGGGACGCACGCATGGCATGAATGCACTCCCTCTCCACTACTCTATCCCACCACTCCCACTACACTGCACTCTACATGAGCTCTGCTGCCATAGCACCACGGGCCACCACCACCATGCGCCAAGGGACGAATGTGCGGTGAGATTTTCCAAGAGTGAAAGAGATGAAGGAATGCGGATGGCAAGAGAGAGTGGCGCTTAGGAGGGAACTTAGCGAGGGAAGCAGCAGCAGTCGTTCCAAGGTGCATCAGGAGGCTGCTCCTCCCATTGTGACCCGCGCAGCAGTTGGACTCCCATTGCCGGCACTCCAAGCCACCACCCTCCCAGCAGCACAGAGACTCCCACCAGCAGCCCTCCCAGCAGCACAGAGACTCCCACCAGCAGCCCTCCCAGCAGCAGCGAGACTCCCACCAGCAGCCCTCCCAGCAGCACAGAGACTCCCACCAGCAGCCCTCCCAGCAGCAGCGAGACTCCCACCAGCAGCCCTCCCAGCAGCACAGAGACTCCCACCAGCAGCCCTCCCAGCAGCACAGAGACTCCCACCAGCAGCCCTCCCAGCAGCACAGAGACTCCCACCAGCAGCCCTCCCAGCAGCAGCGAGACTCCCACCAGCAGCCCTCCCAGCAGCAGCGAGACTCCCACCAGCAGCCCTCCCAGCAGCAGCGAGACTCCCACCAGCAGCCCTCCCAGCAGCAGCGAGACTCCCACCAGCAGCCCTCCCAGCAGCAGCGAGACTCCCACCAGCAGCCCTCCCAGCAGCAGCGAGACTCCCACCAGCAGCCCTCCCAGCAGCAGCGAGACTCCCACCAGCAGCCCTCCCAGCAGCACAGAGACTCCCACCAGCAGCCCTCCCAGCAGCACAGAGACTCCCACCAGCAGCCCTCCCAGCAGCAGCGAGACTCCCACCAGCAGCCCTCCCAGCAGCAGCGAGACTCCCACCAGCAGCCCTCCCAGCAGCAGCGAGACTCCCACCAGCAGCCCTCCCAGCAGCAGCGAGACTCCCACCAGCAGCCCTCCCAGCAGCACAGAGACTCCCACCAGCAGCCCTCCCAGCAGCAGCGAGACTCCCACCAGCAGCCCTCCCAGCAGCACAGAGACTCCCACCAGCAGCCCTCCCAGCAGCAGCGAGACTCCCACCAGCAGCCCTCCCAGCAGCAGCGAGACTCCCACCAGCAGCCCTCCCAGCAGCAGCGAGACTCCCACCAGCAGCCCTCCCAGCAGCAGCGAGACTCCCACCAGCAGCCCTCCCAGCAGCAGCGAGACTCCCACCAGCAGCCCTCCCAGCAGCAGCGAGACTCCCACCAGCAGCCCTCCCAGCAGCACAGAGACTCCCACCAGCAGCCCTCCCAGCAGCAGCGAGACTCCCACCAGCAGCCCTCCCAGCAGCACAGAGACTCCCACCAGCAGCCCTCCCAGCAGCAGCGAGACTCCCACCAGCAGCCCTCCCAGCAGCAGCGAGACTCCCATCACCCGCACTCCCAGCTGCCCGTGAGGGAGTGGCGTGGTCAGCAGGGCACACCCATGCCTGCCGTGCGTCATCCCACTGTCCTCCCTCCCTCCCCTCTCCTTTCCTGGCCTGCGACAAGGGGAATGGATTGGGGAGACAAGGCAGTGATTGACGGGATTGAACAGAAAAAAGCAAGGAAGCAAGCATTACAATGAATCTGCTGAAGAAAAAGAAAAACAGAAAAGTGAAAAAGACAGACATCCGCTAGGGTAACGAAAGGCGATGGTAGGCATGGCAGTTGGGCAGCAAGAGCTAGCAGGCAAGGGTGGACTGGGAGAGAAAGAGACGCGGGCATGAGTATGAATGCAGTCTACCCCCTACAACTCTAGAATGAGCTCTGCCGCCCTCGTGCCATGCGCTACCTTCGCCACGCTGAATTGCCGTTTTTGTTACGATCACACAGTGAGAAAGCAAAGCGACAAGGCATTGATACGGATGGCAAGGGAGCGAGTAAGGGGGTTCAGAGGGGACTTAGCTGTGGGGTGGTTGAGCGACTGGATCCTTCGCCTTCGCAGCATTCGCCTTCGCCTTCGCACTCGCATTCGCATTTGCCTCCGCCTTCCTCGATCGCCTTCGCCTTCATCACTAACGTCAACGCCGTCGCCGATGGTCGTCGCTCTGTCCACGCTGCAGCTTCTGCGCTCATGTTCTGCTCTTGAGCTCCCCATGTTCTGCGCTCCACCGATCGCCTCCCGTCAGCAAGCGCCGCCGTCAGCGTCAAACGTTCCCGTCAGAACTCGTCACCTTGGAACCCTTCCGTCGCGTTCGTCACTGCCATACGACGGCGATCGTCAGCATCAACGACACCGTGTCGTCGCAGTCGTCGGCCTTCCACGATTCCGCCCTGGTCGTCGACGTCAGAACTTGCCGTCTCAGTCGCCGTCTTGATCCGTAGTCGCGTGACATTTCGCCATCAGAAATCCCTGTCTTGATCGTCACCGTGAGCACGACTCCGCAAGAACTAGTCCTCGCGATCTCAACACAAGAATACGCCATCCCAATCATCGCCATGAGTCAAGACTCGCCATCGCAAATCCCGTTCCTGAATTCAGGAACGGGATTTCGCGTCTCGTTCGTCATCCAGTCGGCAAACGCGTTTCCGAGACGATGATAAATCATCAGGCGATAAAGAAAATCACTGCAGACGGATTCGTCGTCGTCAGAACTCCGCATCGGGATCGGCCTGGTCACCATTCCGAATAAAGTCCATCAGATTCAGCCTCGGCGTCGCCTTCGCCATCGCCAGCCTCCGTCGTCAACGTGAAACCGTTTTACTGACACCGTCACCGTCGGATATCCATGCTTTGAACCCCCCGAAGATGCGGCCAATCAGCCGTAATAACTGCTCAACGGGATGAACGCCGTCAGAAAACTCCGTCTTATTCTCGAACAGCAGCGAAAAATCTCGCCGTCTCGGCTATCAGCCCAAATCATCAGACGACGCCGATCGTCTCCGTCACCGTCTGTTATACTCGTCACCATTAGAAGACGTCAATCATCACCGTTAGAGCCCCTCATCGAAATATTGTCGCCTTCACCAAAGTCCGTCTGAAATTAATGTCTCAAACGTCGCCGTGAGCACTTCTCATCTCTATCGTTCCCGTTTAAAAACACCGTTTACTATTTAAAAATTCCCTTCTCCGTCTCGGTCTGTGCCTCGGCCTTTGTCGTCGTGTACGATTTCAGAACGGCGTCCCCCTAAACGTTGCTGCCTGAAACAGCTGTGGCTGTCGCCAAGTGAACCATGCTTAGGACGGGCTGTAAAGGAGCTAAGAGGCATCACGACGAGCCGAAATTACGTCACGAAACCGTATCTGACAGCCTTAAGCAGAAATTTCTCGATGTGGTAGAGGATCACAATGGCGCTTCGAATAACGACCTAATCAGTATTGAATAAAGAGAGATGCTACTAGTTCTACAATCGAGCTACTCTGAATGCATTAAATAGCGTAAAAGCGCTTTATTGTCTACATATTTGACTAGAACTATGCTTGAGAGGTATTTAACGGTCTGTGAGCTAGACGACCGCCAATAGCTGACGAAACCAGTTGAGCCATGAGTATTCCTCAATCATGCTAGACCATGATACTCGAACACAAGATTAACTAGAATAAAGCTGCTAAGATTACTAAGATTTAGACCTAGTTAACGGCTGGTGATGGAACTCCAAACGGCAGCCATGGATTCCAAAGAAACGTACGAGTCTGATGCCAATGAGTCCCTGAGAGTCGTGGTGATTATGGTAAGAACGGCGTACAGGGCATTATGGGATTCAGAAAGTGAAAAGAGGGGTTCAGTGAAGCATTTTAGGAATACCAGAGGGTTTTAGAGCGGTTGACAGGGATCCACATAAGCAAGGGATGTTCAAGGAGAAGGCAATTGCTTCCCTTTCCCGGCTCTGGTGCAAGCCGCCGCGCTGTCGGCGCAAGCGAAGGTTGCCTTTCGGTTGCGGGATGATTGATTCGCGAGAGTTTTGACAAGTTTCGTGGGAAAAGTTACAGCAACCCCGAAGCGCGGAAGTATCATGGTTGCGTTTGTTTGCGCGGGAAACACCGCCACATGTCTGACAGACGCTCATCCCCGTATCCCAACCCCGTATTATCATACGAAGCATTTGTCACTTCTATTTAATAAATATAGATTGCAAGCCCTTGTGCATTGTCATAAATCAACTTCTGGTGGTGTAAGAAGATGCTCTATGCACCCCACCACCTCTACTTGGTGAGAAATGTGAGTAAGGATATGGTAAAAGGTCAAAAAATTATTCCTATCCCTACCCAACACATTATGGCTTTTACTGGTAATCTGATTGGTTCTCATGGTGCTGCTGCTCGTACTTTCACACCTCCCAGCCAATCCCTTCCCAACCACAGCAGCACCACCAGCACCAAGCAGCAATGCCGGTTACCATGCTGAAAGCAACACCTGTAAGAGAGCTAGGCGGGCAGTAAGACAGCACCTGTACCATCTGCCATCCGTCCACCCAGCTGCTTCTCCACAAAGCTCCTGCATTTTCTCCTCCACCCTTCTTCACCCCTGCGATTTGCATGCAAAATCGTTGGCGCTTTCTCAGAACTCCCTCAATCTGTCATCCGTCTCCTCCCCCCTGCGTCTCTCCCACCGTCCTCCACCCCTTCCTCCTCGTCGTCATCCAAGTAGATATTTTCCGTCATCTGCCAGATTTGATTTTGTTGAACGACTCAAACCACACTCAGTCAGTCATCCTTCTTCTCCCTCCTGAATCTCTCCCCCCGTCCCCCTCTCCCCCTTCCTCCTCCTCGTCATCCAGGTAGATATTCTCCGCCATCTGCCAGATCTGCAGGATATTATCCTCTGCCACGCTGGCAATCACCCAGTCATCATTGCCGTTCCACGAGAAGTCAGATATTTTGCTCGTGTGTCCCCCATGGATGAACAGTAGCTCGGGCGGCCCGTCCTCGGCATCTTCTGGCGCCTGCTGCTCGCCGATCCTGGCAGGGAGGTTCGGGGGGAAGGGTAGGCGAGTGTGAGTGGGCAGAAGTGTTGCGGGAAGTGGGGTGTGGGAGAATTAACATCTCCTCGGCCATTAGCGTGTGAGCCAGAAAGTGGGAGTCTATGTTGGCAAAAAATGGCGAAGGACCACGCAAGAGCGCCGGCTGGCATTGAAAAAAAAAACTAAAAACTCTAAAACTTAACGGAAAAATAAGTAGAGTGTAGTACCGTACCTGCTGAGGTCCCAGACCATGAGTCGCCTGTCTGCCCCACAGGAGGCTAGGATGGTCTCGTTCTGCGGGCTCCACCCCACCTGAAACACCTCCTCCCTGCACTCGGTAGGGGGAAAAGAAGGGGGGGAAAGGGGGACGATAAGGGAACAGCAGGTGTGTTATGGATTGACTAGAAAAAGCCCGTCTGCCCCACAGGAGGCTAGGATGGTCTCATTCTGTGGGCTCCACCCCACCTGAAACACCTCCTCCCTGTGCATTCCAGTAAGAAGGAACAGACAGGGGGATGAGAAAGGAATTTCATGTGTTGTGGGCATACCCTGAAAGACGTTTGAAGGAAAAAGTTGGCAGTTTATAACGCATAATAGAGTGCACAGTATCTAATAGAGAGGGAAGTGCATGCATGTTTGTTATAATCGAACAATGCAAGCATATGTGTGTCCACTTACGTGTGTTGAACAAACGTGTGCAGGCGTCTGGAGAGGTTGCGAATGTCATGCAGAGCCACGGTCTTATCAGCCGAGCCGGTCACCAGCACCCACTCGTTGAACGGGTTGAACGATAGACAGTTAACCTGGTGGGGGGCGATCGCACGTTGGGAACGGAGAAAAGAGAAGGTTGAGAGGAGTGAGGAGAGGAGGGCAGAGCCACGGTCTTATCAGCCACGGTCTTATCAGCCACGGTCTTATCAGCCACGGTCTTATCAGCCACGGTCTTATCAGCCACGGTCTTATCAGCCACGGTCTTATCAGCCACGGTCTTAGAAGAGAGAAGAGAGGAATGAATAGAAGAGAGCAAGCGGAATGAATAGAAGAGAGCTAAAACGACTGAAGATGTTGGACTGTTAGGGGGAATGGGTTTGAAACGAGAGCTTTGAGCAATGCGAATGGTGTGCTGTTTAATTGAATGGTTGGCTTCGTACCTCTGCTGGGTGTGCGGTAACCGCGTGTGCAGGCTTGTCAACAGCAGAGGAGCGCAGGTCCCAGAGCAGCAGCTGCTGGTCCCTCAGATGCTTGACTTGATTGACTTGATTGACTTGAATTGACTTCGTACCTCGGCAGGATGCGCGGTAACCACTTGTGCGGGCTTGTCAACAGCAGAGGAGCGCAGGTCCCAGAGCAGCAGCTGCTGGTCCCTCAGATGTTTGACTTGATTGACTTGATTGACTGGCATCGACATCTTACCTCTGCAGGATGTGCGGTAACTGCTTGTGCGGGCTTGTCAACAGCGGAGGAGTGCAAGTCCCAGAGCAGCAGCTGCTGGTCACAGAGACGTTTGACTCTGTTGACCGGCATTGACTCACCTCTGCCGGGTGTGCGGTAACCGCTTGCGCGGGCTTGTCAACAGCGGAGGAGCGCAGGTCCCAGAGCAGCAGCTGCTGGCGCGGTGTGCAAGACTTCATTGACCAGTGTTGACTTCGTACCTCGGCAGGATGCGCGGTAACCGCTTGTGCGGGTTTATCGACAGCAGAGGAGCGCAGGTCCCAGAGCAGCAGCTGCTGGTCGTCCCCCACGGACCCAAACAGGTACTCGTGCCGGCAGTGCCATGCCACGTCCTCCACCACTCCTGTGTGAGCCTGTGGTGGGGGAAGGGTTGGAGAAAGATGTTGGAGAAGGGAGAAAAGCTGCTGGTCGTCCCTAACAGACCCAAACAGGTACTCATACCGGCAGTGCCATGCCACATCTTCAACAACCCCTGAGTGCGCCTGGTTTGACGACTGGGGGAGGAGAGGGGATGCAAAAAGAACACTGTGAAGTGTGGGAGTGGTCGAGCTTTCACACGGCTGAAATCTGGCCTGTGTGCTCGCGTGGGTTGGTGGGAGGGCGTGGGGAGGGAGGGAGGAAGGAAGGAGCAGGTCCCAGAGCAGCAGCTGCTGGTCTCAGAGACGTTTGACTCTGTTGACCGGCATTGACTCACCTCTGCAGGATGTGCGGTAACCGCTTGTGCGGGCTTGTCGACAGCAGAGGAGCGCAGGTCCCAGAGCAGCAGCTGCTGGTCATCCCCCACTCACCCGGAACACATGCTTGGCGTCCACCACTTTATTCGCCTTAGTAGCAGCCCCGATGTCCCACACGCAGATCTGCATGTCGTCTGACCCGCTCAGCAGGTGCACCTGCTCCCCTTCCCCTACCCTCCCACTCCCCGCACCCACTAACTCACCCAAAACACATGCTTGGCGTCCACCACTTTATTGGCTTTAGTGGCCGCCCCAATGTCCCACACGCAGATCTGCATGTGACCCCTTCACAACCCAACTCATCCCCCACTCACCCGGAACACATGCTTGGCGTCCACCACTTTATTCGCCTTAGTAGCAGCCCCGATGTCCCACACGCAGATTTGCATGTCGTCGGACCCGCTCAGCAGGTGCCCGGCGCGGAAGGGGCTCCAGGACAGCCCGTACCCCTCCGTCTTGTGGCCTCTCAGGCGCAGATCCGGGTTGCACGTGCCTTCTTGAGGGGGTTTTGAGGGGTGCCGGCTGTAGTCAAACACAAACACCTGTAGGGAGGGGGAATGGGGTGGGTGCAGGGAAGGGGGCGTCAGGGGCGTCAGGGGGGTATGGGCAGGGGAGGCAGAGCAAGGCAGCAGAGGGTGCGAGGGTGCGGAAGGGGCTCCAGGACAGCCCGTACCCCTCCGTCTTGTGGCCTCTCAGGCGCAGATCCGGGTTGCACGTGCCTTCCTGAGGGGGCTTTGACGGGTGCTGGCTGTAGTCGAACACACACACGTGGAGGGAGGGGGATGAGGCGGGTTCAGGGGAGGCAGAGCAAGGGTGATTTTCTCAAAACAGACACGGGCGCCAGGGGCGTATGGGCAGCACGACCACGGGAGGCATCCCTGCCAAAGGGGGCGTATGGGCAGCACGACCACGGGAGGCATCCCTGCCAAAGGGGGCGTATGGGCAGCACGACCACGGGAGGCATCCCTGCCAAAGGGGGCGTATGGGCAGCACGACCACGGGAGGCATCCCTGCCAAAGGGGGCGTATGGGCAGCACGACCACGGGAGGCATCCCTGCCAAAGGGGGCGTATGGGCAGCACGACCACTGGAGGCATCCCTGCCAAAGGGGGCGTATGGGCAGCACGACCACGGGAGGCATCCCTGCCAAAGGGGGCGTATGGGCAGCACGACCACGGGAGGCATCCCTGCCAAAGGGGGCGTATGGGCAGCACGACCACGGGAGGCATCCCTGCCAAAGGGGGCGTATGGATGGGCAGCACCAAAACCCTATAACTTTGTCTCATCTCACCTCGACAGAAACGGTCTTAGTGGCGACGAGGAAGGGGTTCTGTGGCATGTAGCGCGCCCTGGGAAGGCCAATACTACACTGCTGTACCCGTTGTATTGATGCTCGAAACCAACCAAAAGCGCTTACCTCAGCAGAAACAGTTTTGGTGTTAATCCAAATACCTCGCCTCATCCCAGGCAGCTCCTGAGGCACCTCGATGTATGTCTCATCTCACCTCAGCAGAGACGGTCTTGGTGGCGATGAGGAAGGGGTTCTGTGGCATGTAGCGCGCTCTGTTCACCTCGCCCTCGTGGTTAATCTGCTGTACCACTTGCACCTGAGAGAGTGAACGCGTGAAGGCGCGAAGGGAGGAGGAGATGGGAGGGGTGAGTGGATGTTGTGAATGGCTAGCAAAATACTCGCCTTAGCGCAACCAGTGCTGGATGGTTAGCAAAGAGCGAGAGAGAAAAAAACTCGCATTAGTGGAACCGGTGCTGAATCTTCCATCTTAGCACCCCTCCCCCACCCCCACTTCGCCCCACCCCCCTCCCCCGACCTTGGCGCACCCTTCTCCCTCCTATCCCCTCTCTACCTTGGCGCACCCAGCACCAAATATCCCAACATCACTCCTCTGCTCATCATACTGCCGCACGTCCGTCTCCGTGTTGTCCAGAGGCAGTTGCACGACCACCAGCATGAGGTGCCTTCCCCACTCTGTCCCCTTACCCCCACCCCATCTCAGCACACCCACCCGTCTCCGTGTCATCCAGAGGCAGTTGCATGACCACCAGCATGAGGTGCCTTTCCCTCCCCCCACACCCGCTCCTCCCTTCTCCTACCTTGGCGCACCCGGCACCGAATCCCCCAACGTCACTCCGCTGCTCATCATACTGCCGCGCGTCCGCCTCTGTGTCGTCCAGAGGCAGTTGCACGTCCACCAGCACTCTGTTGACCCACCCAATATGTCTCCCTCTCTCCCCCCCCCAATCCTACCTTGGCGCACCCGGCACCGAACCCGCCAACATCACTCCTCTGCTCGTCATACTGCCTGGCGTCCGTCTCTGTGTCGTCCAGAGGCAGTTGCACGTCCACCAGCATGAGGTACTTCTGCTCGACGTGACTTCTGAGTCAGACTCACAAGCCACTCCCACCTCACCCTGTCCCCACATCTTGGCGCAACCCCTCCCACCCCATCCCCCCAACAATCCCTACCTTGGCGCAACCAGCACCGAATCCCCCAACGTCACTCCTCTGCTCATCGTACTGCCGCGCGTCCGTCTCCGTGTCGTCCAGAGGCAGCTGCACGTCCACCAGCATGAGGTAGTTCTGCTCGTTGTCCGACGTGTGTGTTCCCAGCACCATTCGTTGGACAGAGTAATCCTTTCCCGCAGGCTCTTGGCGTTCTGTGGACGCAGCGGGAGAGGGGTGAAGAGGGGTGGAGAGGGGCGGGGAGGGGGTGAGGCAGAGTGAGGCAGTTGCACGTCCACCAGCATGAGGTAGTTCTGCTCGTTGTCCGACGTGTGTGTCCCCAGCACCATGCGTTGGACTGAATAGTCCTTTCCCGCCGGCTCTTGCCGCTCTGTGGAAGCAGCGGGAGAGGGGTGAAGATGGGTGGAGAGGGGTGGGGAGCGGTGATGCAGGAACAGGCAGTTGCACGTCGACGAGCATGAGGTAGTTCTGCTCGTTGTCCGACGTGTGTGTCCCCAGCACCATTCGTTGTACCGAGTAGTCCTTTCCCGCTGGCTCTTGGCGCTCTGTGGAAGCAGCGGGACAAGGGTGAAGAGGGGTGGAGAGGGGTGGGGAGAGGTGAGTTAGGGCGAGGCAGCTGCACGTTCACCAGCATGAGGTAGTTCTGCTCGTTGTCCGACGTGTGTGTCCCCAGCACCATTCGTTGGACGGAGTAGTCCTTTCCCGCTGGCTCTTGGCGCTCTGAGTAGGGTACAGGGGCAGGGAGAGGGGACGGGAATGAGTTAAAGAGGATTTTACGAGGAGCGTCGGAACTACTTCTTGTATTTGCCGCTGTGCAGGGCGGCAAGCGGAATGGGGTCGCGATGAAAACCAAAAGGAGACGCCTATAACTGAGTTTTTTTTTTTTTTGTTCTCCAGTCTGGAAAAATGACGCCACGGAATGTGACACCAATTGAACGACAGAGTACTCGAGGCCATCCACTGCACTGACGGCCATTCGAGCGCGCATTGACGTGGCATCATCTGGCGAGGCACGTGGCATTATCTTGCGATGCACGTGGCATCGAGTCATCACCATCACACCTGGCATCCACTGCACGGTGAGCGACGGCCATTCGAGCGCGTGCGTGATGACGAGGTCGTAGAGGAACGGCGTGTTCTTCTTCCAGATGACACGTGGCAGGCTATAAACAACACACCTGGCATCCATTGCACGGTGAGCGAAGGCCACTCGAGCGCGTGCGTGATGACAAGGTCGTAGAGAAACGGCGTGTTCTTCTTCCAGACCTTATACTCCTCGTTTATCACCCGCTCCTCCCCCTCGTCTGGATACTCCTCCTCCTCCCGCGCCATTCCGCCCGCTACCGCCCTTAAAAGTGTCTCTTAGTGGAACCTCGGCCTGTATTTCTTCAAAGAAACGCTTAGTACGGGACTGAATCTGGATCGATCGGACTCCAACGACGGATGGATGCTTACGGCGATCGAGGGCGTGGGAACGGGGTTTCAATGAAGCACTTAGTGAATCAGCAACGCACTCCTAATGTCGATCGGGATAGTGCTTTGAGTCGGTAGAAGCGCTAAGCGGTTCTAGATAGCGAGTCAACAGCGTGGCCAAGCAGGCTTCTTGAAGGCAAGCGTTCTAACTCAAGGCAAGGGTATGGAAACGTAAGGAAATGCGAAACAATGGAAAGCGGGCTAGTTGGAAGGGAGGAACCAGGAGGAAACGATAAGTGACGTGCCTCGAAAAGTGGACTCTCGACTCGAAATGGTGATTCCCTATGCGAGTGCAAGGCAGAGCCAAGGTCAGTCCCATACGACCTCACGACGTCATTCCTCTTTTATGATACAATGGGGCTGGGACTCAATAGTTGCCGCGCAAATTTGTAAGTTCGAATTGTTGTTCCCCGATGGAAATCTTTATGATATCTCTGCACATCGGCCTATTAGCTCAGCTGGTTAGAGCGTCGTGCTAATAACGCGAAGGTCACAGGTTCGAGACCTGTATGGGCCATCTTCTTTTGGACCCTTGATTCGTTTCGGGAACGCGTTCTCACAAGCGCCGAGACCTCGTGTCGTCACGGGATCCTCAAGGTCCCGCAGCCCTGAAATTTGTCGTCGGTCCCTGTTTACACGAGGTCACCCTGGCGTACGCGTCCCTCGTTCCCCCAACCGCTTTCCTTCCCACCAGTTCCTTTCCTGTTACTACTTGTCCCACAAGCAGAAACCTAGATTTCACCTCTAACACAACAGCCGTTTCTCTCACCAGACGCTCATCCCCGCAGCTACTACGTCACTCACCATTGGTGGTCCGAAACTTTCTGTAGTGCGTGCCTGGCCATTGTTCCCTAACCTGGCCCATTATCAGGCTTTAGAAAAAAACGAACGATTAAAAGAAGACCTCGTTTTTAGGCACTAGGCGTATATAAACAAGACCGCGTAACTAGGCCTTAAACGGGTGTAAAAAGGGCCACGCATTTTCAAGACATGTCGGCGACGGGGACGCCGCCGCGGCGCATCGTGGTTGCGATCGACGACTCGACGGGCAGCACCGAGGCGCTCCAATGGGCGCTCGATAACATGCAGCTTCAGCCTGGTGCGTGCGAGACAGGCGGTTGAATGCGAATGGGTGTAAAGAAATTTGGGCTAAGCTGCGTGGGTATCATTCTGCTCCCTTGGCGCTCCAATGGCCGCTCAATAACATGCAGCTGCAACCGGGTGGGTGCCAGGGAGGGTAATTGTCGGATGAATGGGTGTCGGACGAATGAGGTTCAGGCGAGGTTGCAACGGGCGGGTGTCAGGCGGGTGGGTTTCAGGCGATGTTGCAAATCTTTTCTCCTCTGCGCCCCGCCATTCCCCTGTGCAGGTCGTGACACCATCATTCTCGTTAACACTCAGGCCTATTCCGCCGCCCCTACTTCCCGGCCAGGTAAGACAAAAACTCCCGACCAGTTCAGCCAGAACTTCCTGACGAGGTAAGCCAGGTCTTGCCACCCATTTTGGGGTCATTACCTCCCCCCCGACCACATAACCCTATGGCAATGGTGAGTTAGCACGGTGTCGCATCGCATCATACGTGTGTGTGACTTTTGAGTGGTCTCAATTCAAGTCAATGCGTGAGCACAGGGCAATGGTGAGTTAGCACGGCGTCGCATCGCATCATATGTGTGACTTTTGAGCGGTCTCAACTCAAGTGAAAGAAGGATGACACATCAATGCTCACCAGTGGGCAATAGCAAGTTAGCACGGCGTTACATCACATGCTTCCCTCTTCTGCTCTCTTCTCCCCTCCTACGTGCTGCCCTTCCCTCCCCCCCCCCCCCCCCCACCCCCCCCCCACCACCTCCCCTTCCGCTCTTCCCCTGCCAATCTCAGGCTTCCACGTGTCCCAGGGAGAGATTAATGCGGACACGCAGAGGAAGAAGGATGCCGGGTACAAGCTGCTGGAAAAGTACAAGGCGCAGTGCGAGGCGCGGCAGGTGAGAAGGGCATGAGTGGGGGTGAAGATGAGGGGTTGGCCCTGTACTCTCAAGCTGCTGGAAAAGTACAAGGCGCAGTGCGAGGCGCAGCAGGTGAGGGAAAAGCTTAGTGTGAGTGAATAATGAGCGGCAGGTGTGGCCTTCACTCACAACAAGCTGCTGGAAAAGTACAAGGCGCAGTGCGAGGCGAGGCAGGTGAGAAGGGCATGAGTAGGAGTGAAGGATGAGTGGTTGGCCCTGTACTTACAAGCTGCTGGAAAAGTACGAGGCGCAGTGCGAGGCGCGGCAGGTGAGGAGAGGAGAGCGCAGTGCGAGGAGATTGTGAGAGAGCGTGTTGTCGTGGTGGCTATAAAATCGTAACGGGGAAAATCCGTTGGCTCAAATTGTCCTCTCAGCTCTTCTGCTTCCTTTCCCTAAAAAGAAATCCTTCCCGTCCCTCGCCCTGTGCTGACGTGGCAGCTGCTGTGCGAGACACGTGTGATGATCGGCGATGCCAGGCTGTCGATATCCGAGGCAGCGGAGCAGGCCAAAGCAGACGCCGTGGTGGTGGGGAGCCGGGGACATGGCGCTCTTAAGAGGTGCGCATAGGGGGGCAGGACAGGTGTGGTACAGGTGTGTGTGTGTGTGTGCTTGACAGGCAGCAGCACAGGCCAAGGCAGATGGGGGGTGGTGGTGGGGAGCCGGGGACACGGTGCTCTTAAGAGGTGCGTGTGTGAGCATGGCGTTCAAATGCGTACATGGTGGAGGGTAGATATGCTCAAGGTGTGCTTGACTGGCAGCGGAGCAGGCCAAGGCGGATGCTGTGGTGGTGGGGAGCAGGGGACACGGCGCGCTTAAGAGGTGCGTTAAAGGGTTGTTTGTTGTGAGGCATGCATGCAGCAGGCAGTGCTTAGTGAGAAGCGGAGCAGGCCAAGGCGGACGCCGTGGTGGTGGGGAGCCGGGGACACGGCGCTCTTAAGAGGTGCGTGTGTGAGCATGGCGTTCAAATGCGTACGTGGTGGAGGGTAGGTATGCTCAAGCTGTGCTTGACTGGCAGCAGAGCAGGCCATGGCAGATGCGGTGGTGGTGGGCAGCCGGGGGCACGGCGCGCTTAAGAGGTGCGTTGAAGGGGCGTGTGAGTCAGAAGTCTCAGTCTGTACGACTTAGAATGCCAGGCAGGTGCAGTGGTGGTGGTAAGGAGCAGGGGGCACGGCTCTTTCAAAAGGTGAGTGAGTGAGTACTGTGCGCACCACTGTGACTGTCGCATGCCCTTTGCTGTACCTCAAGCCCCGTTTCCCCTAACCTCGTCTTGCCCTTCTTCCCTTGTCCGTAACTCCCTCCCTCCCAGACCTGCAGGCTGGTGCTGGGGAGTGTGTGTGAGTACTGCGCCCACCACTGCCCCATGCTGCAAGCTGTTCTACTTGTTAAACTTCCTCTCCTTTTCTCTTCCTCTCCTTTTCTCTTCCTCTCCTTTTCTCTTCCTCTCCTTTTCTCTTCCTCTCCTTTTCTCTTCCTCTCCTTTTCTCTTCCTCTCCTTTTCTCTTCCTCTCCTTTTCTCTTCCTCTCCTTTTCTCTTTCTCTCCTTTTCTCTTCCTCTCCTTTTCTCTTCCTCTCCTTTTCTCTTCCTCTCCTTTTCTCTTCCTCTCCTTTTCTCTTCCTCTCCTTTTCTCTTCCTCTCCTTTTCTCTTCCTCTCCTTTTCTCTTCCTCTCCTTTTCTCTTCCTCTCCTTTTCTCTTCCTCTCCTTTTCTCTTCCTCTCCTTTTCTCTTCCTCTCCTTTTCTCTTCCTCTCCTTTTCTCTTCCTCTCCTTTTCTCTTCCTCTCCTTTTCTCTTCCTCTCCTCATCTCCCTCCATCCAACTTCCAGGCTGGTGTTGGGCAGTGTGAGTGAGTACTGCGCGCACCACTGCCCCATGCCATGCCATTTGCCGTACCTCAACGTTCGTTCATCCTCCCCCTTTTCCCTCACTGCTCCCCCGTCCCTTCTTCCACCTTCCACCTTGCCCCCACCTGCAGGCTGGTGTTGGGCAGTGCGAGTGAGTGCTGTGCCCACCACTGCCCAATGCTGTCTGCTGCTCTACCCATTAAGACCCTCTCCACTCTCTCTGGTCCCAATAACCCCCTCTCTCACCTGCCATGCCTGCAGGCTGGTGCTGGGCAGTGTGAGTGAGTACTGCGCCCACCACTGCCCCATGCCGCAAGCTGCTCTACTTGTCAAACTTCCTCTCTTTTTCTCCTCAACTCCCTCCATCGAAATTGCAGGCTGGTGCTCGGGAGTGTGAGTGAGTACTGTGCGCACCACTGCCCCATGCCAGTCATCATCGTGCGACCCAACAAGATAGGCCAGCCCGACCCTGCTGTGCCCATGGACTGATACACTTTTATCAGCTGATGCTTACGGACTTGGGACAAGTGGACTGATCAAACTCACGACATGAGTTGTTTCTTCCATAACTTACCGTGTAACAAGTGTGCAGCACAAGAAGATCAGACAGCCTGATATAGCTGTTCCTGTGGACTGAGTTGCGTAGGGGCAGGATTTCGTTGATTTTCGAATTCATGCACATGTCTCGACTCAAAGAGGTAGGACAGCCCGCCCGACACTCTTGTGTCTACTGATTTAGTGGTAAATTAATGGGGCTCATGCTGGTATTTGAAGGCCGTGTGGCTTGTGGGCTTGCGGCTGGGGCTTGTGGGCTATGTTACAACATTAGGATCTTTTCAAGGGAGAACTCTGGGTAGGATAATGTTGTAACAGCGGAAGCTTAATGAAGGATTGTGAACCACCTTGCGCTAGTATGTGAGGGCAAAGTAGATTGATTATATTGAAGAAGTACAAGATTATATATTGATACAAGGAATATGAATGGATGCAGTTATAACTACTTTTACTGTTGCTGTTGCGGTTCGATACAATACGACTCGGGCAACTGCTCTGTAACGAGTCAGTTGTGTGTCCTTAACTGTCGCGTTGTATTTGTCAGGTCAAAGGTCGCTTGACCTTTGACTTTCGCGTAACCTCCAGCAACCTCTCAACCTCCGAGGGTTGACTCGCGTTTGCTTCGGTACTGCTTGCTTCACTTCTGGTGCGATGTTTCGACACGACTGAAGTGTCAAATGATATATATGTGTGATATATATTGGTAGGCTGTAGTGGGGTAGATGTTATAGGGGATAACACTTTAGGGTTGTGTTATTTTGTACCAAACTCTCGATAGTCAATCCAACCTTGCCTGATTCTCTCGACATGGCATCTAGAGCAGGTTCCTAGACCTAAGCTTAAGGGCCCACCATGTACTAAGTTACCTCCCCAACGGCCTGCCTACCTGCCTTACATATGTGTCTGCCTAGCCTGCTGCCCGCGCGCGCCTCGGCTGCGCGCGCACGCCTTTTTTTTACCGCGCACAGCTGCTGCCAGCCGCGTCGCGCCCCGTAGGTCGCTTGTGCAGCCCGCCCTGCGCCCGCGCGGCCCGCAGCTGCCCTGCGCACCGTCCGTGCAGCCCGCGCCGAGCCCGCACGGCCCGCACTGAGCCCGCGCAGCCCGCGCGCAGCCCGCGCCTAGCCCGCGCGGCCCGCACTGAGCCTGCGCAGCCCGCGCGCAGTCCGCACGCGGCCCGCGCACCGCCCGCGCAGCTCTCGTCGTGCCCCGCTAGCCTGCGCGCGGCCTGTCACTGATCTGCGTGTTTCCTTACCTGCTCGCATTGTGCCTGTATCAACTGCCTACCTGCTACGGTTGCCTGTTGCCTGTGCCTGCTGCCTGAGCCTGCTGCCTGAGCCTGCAGCCTTTGCCTGCTGCCTGAGCCTGCTGCCTGAGCCTGCTACTTTTGCCTGCGCTGCAACCATGGCGACCCTTACTGTTCTCGCCTTTGAGTCTGACGGCCGCCCCATCGAGTTTGACACCTGGCTTAGTGACCTGCGCCTTTACCTTATGACTGACGTCGCAGACGGAGTGTCACTGCTAGCCTATGTGACCGGCACTGTCCCTACTCCCGCTGAGACTGCTCCTGCCCCTGAACGAGCACAGTGGGAGCTCCGCGATGCAGTCGCGCGCCTTGTTATTCGCAATCACCTACCGATCTCTGAGCGCGCGCATTTCAACCAGCTTAAGACTGCTCAGACGCTGTATGATGCTGTCGTTGCCCGCTATTCCGCCCCGGCCACAGCCACCGTTGGTAGTCTCATCCTGCCTTACCTGTTCCCAGACTTAGCCTCGTTTCACACTGCTGCCGACCTTATCACTCACCTCCGCGCTAGTGACGCCCGCTTTCGAGCCGCTCTTACCGACGAGTTCCTCGCCACGAACCGCCCCCCGCTGTACTTCACCCTCTACATCCTCGTCACCCGCCTCCCTGACACTCTTCGCTCTGTCAGAGATTACTTCCTTGCCAAGGATCCTCCAACTATCACTCTGGACGACTTCGAGCAGCAGCTGGTCGCAGCAGAGAAGAACATCCTCGCTGTCGGTGCTGCTCGTGGCACTCCCCGCACTCCCCTCTTTGAGGGGTGCTCCCCCTCCCCTCTTGACCCCTCCTACGCCTCTGCTGCTACTGCTGTCGACTTCCTCGGTGCGGAGAAGGTCGCAGCGGCTTCCGCTCCTGGTGGGAAGCGTGGTGGTGGCAGGGGCGGCAAGGGTGGCAGGGGTGGCGGAGGTGGCGGTGGAGGGAGCGGTGGTGGAGGCGGCGGGGGTGGTGGAGGTGGTGGGGGTGGCCGTGGGGGTGGAGGCGGTGGGTGGGGTGGCGGCAGGACCGGGGGCGGTGGAGGCGGCGGCGGCGGTGGTGGGGGAGGAGGCAGCGGCAGTGGCGGTGGAGGTGGGAGTGGGGGTGGATCTGGCCAGAAGGGTGGCCAGCAGCAGCAGCAGCAGCAGCAGCCACAGCAGCAGCAGCAGCTTCCTCCCCTCACCTCCCAGCAGCTCAATGACTGGTATGCTGGGCGTGGGGCGTCTCGGGGTTCTGACCGCTGCCCCTATGTCATTCGTACTGGCCCCCGCAAGGGTCGCCCCTGCAACGGTTTTCACACTGAGTATCGTTGTTTTGCTAGGCTTAGTGACGCCTGGCGTACCAAGTATCCTGATGCTACTGAGTTCCCCAACTGGGCAGAGCTGCTTAGGCGTGATGTGCCTATCTTTGATCTGGACTATGATGTTATTCTTGCTGCCATGTATGCATTGACTGTTAGTGCTGAGGGTGACTGCTACTTGTGTGTGCCGCCTGACCCTGGTATTGACCCCGGTATAAGGGCTGCAGCCCTAGGTGCTAGTGAGTCTGCTCCCCTTGGTACTGAGTCGGCTCAGGCCTTGCACACGTTTACACTTGACTCTGGTGCTTCCCGCTGTTTCTTTCGCGATAGCACCACCGTCACTCCCCTCCCTGCACCTGTCCCTGTCTCCCTGGCTGACCCCTCTGGGGGCCCAGTGCTTGCACGAGCCACGACTGTGCTCCCGTGCCCGGCGGTCCCGTCTGGTGAGCTGTCAGGTCTCCACGTTCCCTCGTTCTCTACGAACCTGGTGAGCAACGCCGTCCTCCAGGATCACTGGGTTGACACCTGGACTCCTGGAGGGCAGCGTGTGGCGATCTGCACGTGCTCCAAGACTGGCCGCCACCTGGCCACGTTCACTCGTGAGCCGGGGTCCAGTCTGTACACCCTCACCACTGTTTCACGCTCCGCTCCTTTGTCTCCGCAGCTGTACGCGTCTGCTCAGGTAGCTACCCAGTGTGAGTGCCGCCGCCTGTCGCACGACACGCTCCTGTGGCACCACCGCCTTGGTCACCCCTCCCTGCCTCGCCTTCGTAGCATGCACTCTCGCTCTCTGGTCTCTGGGCTTCCCAGGTCTCTGCCTGCCCTCCCTCCCTCGCCTGCGCCGCCCTGCATTCCTTGCATCGAGGGGCGGCAGCGCGCCGCTCCTCACTCCTCCTCGTTTCCTCCCACAGAGGCTCCCCTGCAGACGCTTCACCTGGACGTGTGGGGCCCAGCCCGCGTCCAGGGACAGGGCCGTGAGCGGTACTTTCTGCTGGTTGTCGACGACTACACGCGTTACACCACGGTCTTCCCCTTGCGCAGCAAGGGAGACGTCCCTGCTGTTTTGATCCCCTGGATCCGCGCTGTGCGTCTCCAGCTCCGCGAGCGGTTTGAGCGGGACTTTCCTGTCCTGCGTCTGCACTCTGACAGAGGTGGTGAGTTCTCCTCTGACCTCTTGGCAGCCTTCTGTGCGGAGCACGGCATCACCCAGTCGTTCACGCTTCCGGCCTCTCCGCAGCAGAATGGGGTTGCTGAGCGCCGCATTGGCTTAGTCATGGAGGTCGCTCGTACCTCCATGATCCATGCGGCGGCTCCCCATTTTCTGTGGCCGTTCGCGGTCCGGTACGCCGCGCATCAGCTCAACCTCTGGCCTCGTGTCTCCTTGCCGGAGACCTCGCCCACGCTGCTGTGGACGGGGGAGGTTGGCGATGCGTCGCGTTTCCGGGTCTGGGGTGCTCGTGCCTTTGTCCGCGATCTCACCGCGGACAAGCTCTCTGCTCGCGCCATTCCCTGCGTCTTCCTTGGTTTTCCTCCTGACGCGCCTGGCTGGCAGTTTTACGAGCCCACCTCGCGCCGTGTCTTTGCGTCTCAGGACGTCACCTTTGACGAGTCTGTTCCCTTCTACCGTCTCTTTCCCTACCGCACTGCCTCTCGCCCCCCCCCGCCGCTCTTTCTCGCTCCAGGTCCTCCCCAGGTAGACCCCCTCCCCGCGCCAGGTCCTGCTCCTTCAGGTGTTTCTCAGGTAGACCCCCCGGTACCTGCGCCTGTTGAGGTCACTGGTGACTCAGGTCCTGCTGGAGGTGGTCCTACTCGGGGTGCTGTCTCTGGGGGTGCTGAGCCTGGGAGTGCGGAGCCTGAGCGAGAGGCGCCTAGAGGTGCTGAGCCTGGGGGTGCGGAGTCTGGGGGTGCCGTGCCTGCGCGTGAGGAGCCTGGAGGTGCTGAGCTTGGGGGTGTCGAGTCTGAGGGTGCTGTGCCTACGCGTGAGGAGCCTGGAGGTGCTGAGCTTGCGGGTGCCGAGTCTGCGGGTACTGAGCCTACGCGTGTGGAGCCTGGAGGTGCTGACGCTGGAGGTTCTGGAGCAGTTGGGGGTGCTGGCGCTGAGGGTTCTGAGTCTGCTGTTGCGCGGTCTCCTTGGAGTAGCCGCCTTCGTCCACGGGTGCCTCTCACCCCACAGCAGCTGCAGGACTGGTACGGTCACCGTCAGCGTCGCGCTGCTGGAGCTAGGAGTGGTGCTGGACCTTTGTCTACTGGAGGTGCTGGAGTCGCTGGTTCTGGAGGTGCTCGTGCTAGAGACACTGAGGCTGGAGACCCTGGGACTGGAGGTGCTGGCTCTGGGGGTGCTGCTGCTGGAGACACTGA